TCTGCCGAGGCAAAATCCGGAGAAGACAACAACCTCAGATTTTGGAGACAGAATTGTTGAATTGATTGAATCGAAATGAATCGAACAAAATCTGAAAGCATCTGGAAGCATTAAAACAGTTAAGTGAGTTTTCGGAGCAGAGTTGCGACGAATATTCAGGTGTTTCACGCAGCTGAAGACTCGACATCAGATGACATCAGAATATTAAAGCTGGATCCGATGGCACCAATCGAGTTGGTTGATGTTGGTTGACTGGATGATTTTGCATGCGAGGTGCTTTGCTTGCAGGACACTGCAGCACAGCAAATCAAGTTCCTGGGCAAAGATGTGCTGAGTGGAATGAGTGGAACATCCTGAAAGCATGTCATCTTGTGGCAGCAGTGCAATCGCATGGAAGTCGTTCTGTGCAGTTCTCTACAGGTATTGTGATTTGGTGCTGCTGTGCCCTGGCTGCCCTGGGACATTTCTGGGACATTTCTGGGAAATTTGTTGATTTGGTGTTCGCATAGGAACAAGTGCGACCTCTTGGGCGGGCTCCACTCCCAACGAGTTGCCCAGCTGGAGGACTGTTCTTTACTGTTCTTTAGTCTCAGAATGTCTCAGATTGGCGAGACGTTTCAAAAGATCGAGTTCTTATTTCATTTCTTATCCCATGCCTGTGCCATGTCTACATTTTGTATCATTTTGTCACATGGAATGGTTGTGGAAGCATTCATGTTCATCCAATGTGGCTGATTCAACAGCAATGCGACGCTGATCAGAGTCCATGTCAGATTCTTCCCAGCAAACCAGGGCCTTTTTGGGTCTATATCGCCCTTCATTTCATCCAGGAACATTTGGCCGACATCCTCTCCAAGTGTCAGGTGTGGCAAGGGCCATGGGGCCGGGGTTCTTCATTACCCATTGATGGACTCTCAGACTTTTCCACACAGCGGATCATCCAAGACTTGTGTAGCGGGTACCGTGGTTGGATTAATTTGGATCAAGATTTGTGGTTCTGTCACACAGCATGATGCTCCTGGATGATTAGAATCAATCGCCAAATATCACCAGGCACGATCACATGAATGTCAGCGATTTGCATCATTTACGCTCGTTTGGATAATTTTGGATGATTCGGAAAGCTAAATCGTCTTCAGATCAGATATATTTCGTGGCCACGGGCCCTGCAGTTCTGGCTCAGCGCTAAAGGCGCGAAGTGCCACTGGCATGCCACCGGTTTCGCTGATCTTTTTAGCTGCGACCGTGACCCTTAGGGTCTACGGCGTCCATAGCCGTCTTTGCTTGCCAGATGCAATCCCAGAATTTGAGCGACAAAACGTGCCGCAGCAAAAGATTGCACGTGAAGATACACAAAGTAGTCGCTAAATGTTGCTACATGTTACCAAGAGTAGTGGAAGAAAAAACGTGTCAAGTGAAAGGTCGTTTCAATGGGATGAGTGACAGACACACTTGTATGATCTTGTCTGTCATTTCAGTCATTTTATACCATTTTAGTCAATTTCATCCTATCAAACCTTATCAAACCTGCTGAGGTAGCTGTAGATGGAATTTCCATGCCAATTGGCATTTGGTCGAGTTCTTGGGACTCAGCTTTGAGACCTGGTGAAAGAACTCGAAGCTTCCCGAGATCGACAGACTGAGACAGTCATGCCATGTCATGCCATGTCATGCCATGTCATGCCATGTCATGCCATGTCATGCCATGTCATGCCATGTCATGCCATGTCATGCCATGTCATGCCATGTCATGCCATGCAGAGTAATTTTCGTTCATTCCCAATAATATCCAATAATCCCATTGGCCGCGATGGTTTGACCAATGGCCACAGGCTTCAAGACTCTTCAAGTCTGTCAAGTTCGCTGTGATTTCCCTGATTTCCGGATGTTTTTGTCAAATGCCAGTGATTTCTTGAGGATTGTGAGCTCCATTTATCAGATACTTGTTCAGGACGGGGATGATGGGGATGATGGGGATGGGGGTACAAATGCACCAGATCAACAGCATTCAACAGCCCAGTCCTGGACCATAGCATCTCAGCCATATTTCAGGAGAAGTTGGGCTACAACTGCTCCATCAGCGTTGGCAACAGCAGCAAGATCCAGCTTTGGAAAGTTGCGGGCTGCGAACATGATCCAGTTAGCAATAACATCACAGGAGGACCGGCTTCATCAACACGTTTTTGTTTCCCTTATTTTTTTGACTTTGGGGTAAGGGCGAAGCGGCGAAGCGGCGAAGCGCAGTTTCAGGATGTGGAGCTCCTCGTCATCAACACGTGACATTTGAGTTCTGGCACGGTGCCGATGCAGAACTGCCAACTTGGCTGTTGGAGCTGGGGAATTTCGCCCCGGAGAATTTGGGTAGCAGCTTGGTGGGCAGACATCTTGTAGAAGACTTCCTGGAAGACCTCAAGTTGGAAACTTATGAGATATTTATGAGATTAAGACTGATCAAGACATTTGATTATATCTGATTATATTTGATTATGACATATTGTCATGACTTGCAGGACAAGAGAGGAATACGGCCAGGAGACGTGAATGTGGTGTTGTCTTAGCTTAGTCCCTTGCAAATCAGATTGGACAAGGCAACACAGGAGAAATGAGCTGAAGGAATCCTGGCGGTGGCTTCTAGGATCACCTCATAAGCAGTGAGTTAAGCACCAGCTTAACATGTTGAACATGTTCAAACATGTTAAGCGCTACTAAATTTCCAGATTGTACCGCAATGTACCGCCAGGTATTGGATATTCAGGGACAGAGGGCATGCATATTATGCGTCCTCCAATCACAGCAGCTCTGGCTGACAGCGGTGCCTCGCCAATGGTCGGAGGTTATTTTTCCCCAAACAGCGTGTCCACACTGAGGGGTTCTTACGGTAGGAGTAAAGGCCGGTGCTTGATCAGGGTGCTCCATCTGGGCCCCGCCATTTTTCCTGTAAATTTCCGTATAAAGTGGCTCTTGTGACATGTTGATGTGCATTTCGACTGCGCAGGCTCGCACAAAGTGTGGGTCCCGCTTCTGGAGGGCGGCATTTGTTCCTGTAAATTTCCGTATAAAGCAGCTTTTCTGAAATGTTCAAGTGCATTTTGACTGCGCAGGCTCGCGCAAAAAGTGTGTGTGTGTAACATCTAAACAGATGTAAAACTTCTCTCTTTTTCTCCCTTCCGTCCTCTCCCTTTCTAAATAACGCAGGGGGACTGGAGCCGATTTGCCTATCCAGTCCAACGAAGCTATGGCATTTCGGTGGATGAGTGGTCTGATCAACCACTTGTACCTGCTTTTTTCGGACATAGCAAGGGGCCAAGCTTAGAGAAGAACTTCCATTATTCGTACAATGCATCGTACTGTCATTGTTTCGTATCTAATCTGCATGTTTCAGGATTCAGTTCCTGCCGGATCATATAATGATCCATTCTTGTCTAGTGTGATTTCCATGGTGGCTCCGACATGGTGCCATGGAGCCATTTGAGGCAACCCTTTTCAGGGTGAATGATGACTGTCCTGACTTCCGAATTAACACATTTTAATTTGGTAATTCATTTAAGTAAATTGCAACAGCTGGCCTTACCGTTTTCCAGCCTTTTAGGGTTGTCCCGCTGGTCCGTTGGTCCCAGGGTTCCTCGCCAAAATGCCTGTCTATCGGAGTGAAGCCGTTCTGAACTTCCTGAAACATGACATGAACGACAGGCAGGCACACGACTTTCAGGTGTGGTCTTTTTTCTTTTTGGTTGTCTGGTGAGGTCAAACATATCGTGCATCTAATTCGTTGGAACTTGAAAGCTGTTTTATGCCCTTGTGGCTGACTGGAACACGGGCCTGGAGTGGCATAACGCACGAACCCTAGGTTTAGGAGCTGAATCCTGTTGTTTAACTAATTGTTTTGGTTTCCTTGTCTGTCACCAACTAGTCCCCCATTTGGTCCCTAATTTTCCCCGCGTGCCTCTCCGTAATGTGTCGTGGGGTTTAGGTGTGTGCGCTGTTTTGGTCAGGTCCGTTTCGCCGTGTAGGTTGGTTCTGGAGGTCCGTCTGTTCCCCTCCCCCCCCTGCGCTTGTTTTGGCCGTCTGCCCGTCGTGTGTCCGCTTTTTTCTTCCTCTTGCCTTTCAGGGTTGACCCGGCTCTGGCCGGGTGTGTGTGTAACATCTAAACAGATGTAAAACTTCTCTCTTTTTCTCCCTTCCGTCCTCTCCCTTTCTAAATAACGCAGGGGGACTGGAGCCGATTTGCCTATCCAGTCCAACGAAGCTATGGCATTTCGGTGGATGAGTGGTCTGATCAACCACTTGTACCTGCTTTTTTCGGACATAGCAAGGGGCCAAGCTTAGAGAAGAACTTCCATTATTCGTAGGATGCATCGTTAATGTCATTGTTTCGTATCTAATCTGCATGTTTCAGGATTCAGTTCCTGCCGGATCATATAATGATCCATTCTTGTCTAGTGTGATTTCCATGGTGGCTCCGACATGGTGCCATGGAGCCATTGGAGGCAACCCTTTTCAGGGTGAATGATGACTGTCCTGACTTCCGAATTAACACATTTTAATTTGGTAATTCATTTAAGTAAATTGCAACAGCTGGCCTTACCGTTTTCCAGCCTTTTAGGGTTGTCCCGCTGGTCCGTTGGTCCCAGGGTTCCTCGCCAAAATGCCTGTCTATCGGAGTGAAGCCGTTCTGAACTTCCTGAAACATGACATGAACGACAGGCAGGCACACGACTTTCAGGTGTGGTCTTTTTTCTTTTTGGTTGTCTGGTGATGTCAAACATATCGTGCATCTAATTCGTTGGAACTTGAAAGCTGTTTTATGCCCTTGTGGCTGACTGGAACACGGGCCTGGAGTGGCATAACGCACGAACCCTAGGTTTAGGAGCTGAATCCTGTTGTTTAACTAATTGTTTTGGTTTCCTTGTCTGTCACCAACTAGTCCCCCATTTGGTCCCTAATTTTCCCCGCGTGCCTCTCCGTAATGTGTCGTGGGGTTTAGGTGTGTGCGCTGTTTTGGTCAGGTCCGTTTCGCCGTGTAGGTTGGTTCTGGAGGTCCGTCTGTTCCCCTCCCCCCCCCCTGCGCTTGTTTTGGCCGTCTGCCCGTCGTGTGTCCGCTTTTTTCTTCCTCTTGCCTTTCAGGGTTGACCCGGCTCTGGCCGGGTGTGTGTGTAACATCTAAACAGATGTAAAACTTCTCTCTTTTTCTTCCTTCCGTCCTCCCCCTTTCTAAATAACGCAGGGGGACTGGAGCCGATTTGCCTATCCAGTCCAACGAAGCTATGGCATTTCGGTGGATGAGTGGTCTGATCAACCACTTGTACCTGCTTTTTTCGGACATAGCAAGGGGCCAAGCTTAGAGAAGAACTTCCATTATTCGTAGGATGCATCGTTAATGTCATTGTTTCGTATCTAATCTGCATGTTTCAGGATTCAGTTCCTGCCGGATCATATAATGATCCATTCTTGTCTAGTGTGTGTGTGTGTGTGTCCACGTTCTGGGCTCAATCTGGGGCGCAGCATTTTTGCTGTAAATTTCCGTCTAAAGTGGCTCTTGTGAAATGCTGACTTGCATTTCATCACCCGCCTCAACATTATCATCCTCAACATCATCACCATCATCATCCTTCCCAACATCATCCTTCTCAACATCATCATCCTCAACATCATCATGTTCCTCCCCTTGACGTCCTAATCCTCAACATCATCAACCTCCACCTCATCTTCTGCAACATCAACATTATCATCCTTTTCATCACCCCCCTCAACATTATCATCCTCAACATCATCCTCAACATTATGCTCCCATTCCCCCACTTTGTTTGGGGTCTCTTGTCGGGATAATTTTTGACTCCGCATGTTGGAGTGGCTCAAAATGGGGCATACCCGATCTCTGACGAGCAATGTGATTTGGGGTACCCGAGTTTGAGACATACCTTTTATATCCTTTTATTATTCCTCATCAATGTTGATCAATGTTGATCAATGTTGATCAATGTTCACATCACATGAAATGTTGCCATCCCCAGCAGGATATGATCCTGCTGAGATCCAGCCCCCGATAGGCTCTTGTGTCGTACTCTGCACGGCCGTCTGTTGGAAATGGTGAAATTATGGAGAGGGAACCAAGGACTGCCGCTGGAACACTTTCGATCATACAATCGTTCCTGGTACAATCCTTCCATGTATACAGCCACTGTCGCGCAGGCAGGGTCTAACCAGCCTAAAATCTTAAACTGTCGAAGGATCGAAGGATCTGGAAACGAGAGAGGGAAAGCGCGGCGGTTTTAATGTATTTTGCCAATGTTGCAAAACACTGAGTGCAAGGCACTTTGGATCGAGGGCACTACAGCATTATCAACATTGAATATGTTTTGACTTATTATTCATGATTGGATGAGTGTTGGATTGTTGGATTGTTGGAATCTGATGGAATCTGATGGAATCTGATGGTTTTGCCCTTCAGGAAATGGGATGCCATGGCCTCAACCATGACCCGATTCCCGATGTGACATCCGCCAGGTAGACCTGGGCAAATTAAGGACTTGTGCCGAGGCCAGGGCCGGATGCGGGGATGCGTGGGATGCGCGGGGCCCCGCTTGAGATGGGATTCATTCTAAGACATATCTAAAACATACAAAGACCTGCAAGTCACCAAAATGTTCTGAGTTTCTTTTGACGTGTCCTTCCTTTCCATTTCACTCATTCGACTTCCTGTTCTCATGAATTCGTCAATATTTTTTTTGAAGGCGCATTTTCGCCTGACCGACTTCGTCGGGTAGGAACGGTAGGAGCTGCTAGTGGCTGCTACTGTAGTGGCTGCTAATGACCTCAACCACCAAACATGCCAAACTTGTCCAACCATGTTACATCCATGTTACATCCATGTTGACTTCGTAGCGTTGCACTCCGTTGCCGAGTCTGTGGAGCGCTGGAAAGACATAGGGCAGATCTATTTGGCAGCCACTGGCGACGTTGATGGTCTAGAGGACAGGGACAGGTCAGGTACAGTAGGACAGGTAGGACAGGTAGGACAGCTGTGCCAACCACATCCAACCACATAATTAGCGAAAGACTGTAGTGCAACCTTCATTCTCCTGAACATCATCTGTCATTCTGCTACAGTGCTAAAGTCTTTCATTTCGTTTCAAGGGCAACCGAATCCCAGTTTTGGAAATAGTATGCTCGTAGAGCTTAGTCATACCTGATGGATCCTGATGGCATTGTCTGATCAAAATTCATTGAAGAAAACTCAGAAAACGCAGAAAACTCGTGAACCTTGTGATCCTGTCCCTTTCTGTCCCTTCATGTCCCTACCTGTCCCTTCATGTCCCTTCAGGACAAGGATGGAAAGAAAGTCCTGAAGTGCTGGCAGGAGAAGTGGTGGGCTGCACCTGCCTGCCGCCAAAGCATCCCAGACTGTGCCAGCGTAATCACCACCAAAGACGGATTGGGAATGCCATACATGAGCCTTGACAGCCTTGACAGCCTTGCCCTGACAGCACTGACAGCCCTGACAGCCCTGACAGCCCTGACAGCCCTGACAGCCCTGACAGCCCTGACAGCCCTGACAGCCCTGACAGCCCGGACAGCCCTGGCAGCCCTGACAGCCCTGACAGCCTTCACGTGGCACTATGTCAAAATGACATCATTAGCAGATATTAGCAGAATATGGCAAGTGTCACAAGCATCCAGATTTCTTCAGGATGTTCCATACAAACCATGTGTCATCTTAGAATGTTCCAGGATTCCACATGATTCAATAGGCTCCAAATAGGCTCCAAATAGGCTCCAAATAGGCTCCAATAGGGGCCTTTTCTTGGGGCTGAGGATTCAACAGGCCTTCTTCCACAACATGCCTCTGGCATTCGCCATGGCATTAAAGAATTTCTATGTGGCGTTGAACCTGGAGTTGCAGGGCTTGCTGTACTGGTGGGCACCAGACACGCAATTCGCTTTGCAGAAGCCGTATCAGTTGATGTTTCCGCCCCACAGCCCGTCCCAGTACAAGCAACAGATTTACAAGACCATGAAGGACAGACGGACGGAGTGGTTTCTGATGGTTTCTGTTTAGCAGCTTAGCATCAGTTTGTCAAGAGTTTGTAGCTCCAAGATTTCAGGAGAAGACCTTGCTGAGCAATTGGATGGCCAAAGGATTCCGTGACATCGCAGAACGTCCTGCAGTCGTGGCCGCGACCTGAAGTTCTGCGACTGAAGCTCTGGTGCAGCTTCTGTTTTTGCTGCCGCGAACTCCATTTTAGCAAGGGTTGCATTTATATATACTTTACTTGAGCATCTTGAGATATCTTGAGCATTTTTAAATGTTGTTGCGTTGCGGTTGGATCCTCATTTCTATGACAGTGTAATGGTCAACAGCATTTAGAATGACTCGTCTGGCGAATGACTCGTCTGGCGAATGCTACCTTGTACGATTTCCATTGGTTTGTGTCAGTTTTGTGTTGTCGCACTGTTGTGGATGATTGTGGCACAAGGCCTCTAAGTTGCAATTGGGCGATGAGGACATCAAGGCTCTGTTGGTCCCGGCCCAAGATCTGGACCGAGTTTGAACTTGTGATCCTCTGCGGTATCACAGATTTCCCATTTCAACGGCTGTATTGGGGCATACTGCGGCATACTCTATTCTTGGACATCCATTTGGTGAAAGTGCTGCTTGCACGTGATGGCAAATAAGGTGGCACAAGTAGAAGCAGGAAACCAAGATCCTTGGGACACAGCTTGCAACTGGCTCTTGCAGTCCGACCATCTGTGGCAAGATTGGCTGCTCGCGCAGCGATCCAGTAGTTGCATGCAGTCACACACATACATACACACTGCCTCAGCACCATTCCTCAAGTCCATGATGGATATCGAATTATTTTTGCTGTACGGCCTTTTGAACGTTCATATCATACAGTCTTCAATATTATATACGTAGTCTTCATATTATATGTCTTCACATTTCTTCATTCTTAGAGAACCTAACTTCTCTGCTCAGGTTGCCGAACGAAACTACCTGCAGCATGGGGAAAGGCTTAGTGGATTCTTCAGACAACTTTACCCAGCGGAGAGGCTTGTGCAGCCATTTCAATCTTCTGTTCCACAAACTTGAAAAGATTTGAGAAGCCATCAACAAACGCTGCAACTGCACCTCAGTTTAGCCATGTTTAGTTGAAAAGTGTTGAAAAGTGTTGAAAAGTCTGATTGTTCATGATTGTTTTGTTCTGATTATTCTCAGGATGCATAACTCTGGTTGTGCCAGGGATGGCCGTGAAATGTGCGCCTTGTCGTCCTGGTCATCAATCTGTGGAGCAGGAGCTTTTGTTCGATGCACAAGTTGCATGTTAGCCTCGGCACAGAGTAAATCAGCACAGCTTTCTGTGTTTGGCCGTGTTTGGTGCCTTTGGATAGGTTGGACAAAGTTGGACATATTTTGTGTTTTGAACTTGAAGAAATGGTACAGAACTCCGCTGGAGATTGATCTTCGGAGTCAGGACAGAACGCGGGTTTGCATCCCTTGTGATGCCGGACACTACCAACCTCTACCAGGGGAAAGCACATGCTTGCTCTGTGAACCTGGCACCAGGCCAGAGTTCCAAAATGCTCCAAATATGTGTTTTGAGAATTTTTGAACATGACTTTTTGCTATACTACCTATACGTATAATATATATACATATATATGTATATATATCATATATATATATTTATTATGTACATATATATATATACACACTTAATATATATATATAATTATATATACATGCATACATAATATATATATACATAATACACATATATATATATCATATTTATATATACATAATATAATATATAATATATATATATACATAATATATATATACATAATAATTATATATATATATATACATTATATATACATACACATAATATATATACATATACATAATATATACACATAATATATACATATACATAATATATACACATAATATATACATATGTATATGCAAACACATAATATATACAATAATATGTATATATATTATATATATTATATACTATTTGTATATATATATATGATTATATATAAATTATATATTTATATAAATGATTATATACGATTATATATGATTATATATAATTCTATATATGATTATACATGATTTTATATAATCATATATAACTATATATAATTATATATAACTATATATAATTATATATAACTATAAATAATTATATATAATTATATATAATTATATATAATTATATATAATTATATATAATTGTATATATATATAATTACATCTAATCATATATATATATATATACATATTATGAATTTGCAATATTTCCTATGAAATAAAAGCATCCAGAGTTCATTGAATGCTTTTGTTTGCGGGGGAAAGTGCTTTCAGTGCCATGCGCCGACGCCTGTGCCAGGTCTGAGCTGAAAGGTCAGACAGAATGCATCCCTTGCAGCTTGGGACGCTTTGCAAATCGCTACGCAATGACCTCGTGCGTTCAATGTGGCCCTGCGGATCAAACAGAGAAGCTCGGGTCGGACTTGTGAACCGTTCGAAAATGCACTTTGCAATGGGAGCTACTTTCATCTCAGCACGATGCTGTCTTTGTGGGGTTCTAGTGAGACAGGCAGCAGGTAATCACCAGCTCCTGATTCGAGACTCAGGCGCTGGACAACCAGCGAGGCTGTGATGTCACAGCGCGAGCAGACATGGATTCAAATTCAGGCCATGGTTGTCACCTCAAACCATTGGTTGCTGTCAGAAGCACATAGGGTCCATATGGGTCCATGTGATTCTGATATGAATTGATATTTTCAGAAAGAATGAATGTGAACAAATCAAGAACATAAGTAAGACAGCATAAAACATTGTATATACATCTACACATATAGTTATACAATATACATCATATACAAATATACAGTTTCATTGGTTACAAATTTCTGTCCAGGGCAGATTTTGGTTTGATTTCTGTTCATTTTTTAGATTCGTCCATTTCAAAATAAGGATGAACATTTCAAGAAAAACTGACCGCTTCATGTTTTCATTTTTCGGTCATGTTGAGTCTACCCCGGTATCTCCGCCCTTTTCTTGGGAATTTGTGCCCAGAAAAATCGACGCATTTTTGCGCAGAGTAGAGTCAGATCAGCCCAAAAGGTTCGATATACGAAATTGACCACAGTAGGCAAGAAATGACCATTTCCAGGTCCTTCACAAGAAATCCTTCCTAAGGGCAGAAATCTTGCAAACGGGCAATTATGTGTGTCCTTTCCCAGATCCAGGTGTATAATATATATATATATATTATGTATATGTATATTTATAGACATATATAGTATGAATGTGTTATATATATATATATATATATCCACGGGAATAATTCCGAATAGCTCTGGAGCCTCAGGGCGCCGATTCAGAGGACTACTGCAGCTGTGTGGAAGGGACCTATCTTTGGAAAGGTCGTTGTGAGGCACCGTTCAACATACAGGGCGGTTTCGGCCCGTTTTGGATGTCAATGCCTTGGGAATCTTATTGGAGCGAGATTGAGGTGGTCATCGGGGGTCCATATATAATATATAGTTTACACAGTTGAAGTTCAGTTCAGGTGTGAAATGCGAAATTGACGAGTCCTTGGCGAGTTTGGGCAGCTGGCAGGTGTGCGTTGAAGGCTCAAGATGTCCGGGCTCCAATCAGTTGCTGCTGAAACCTGGTTACTTCTCAAAACCAGAGGTGCCAAGTGGTGCCAAGGGTTGGCAGCACAAGTGTTGACGCAGATCAGCCATGCAGAAACTTGCCATATCTGGCCATTAAAGGACATTCGATCAATGAATAGCACATCGCTTAAAGGTTTGGAGGACCACTACGTCATCCTTGGTTTGTTGTTTCTTCAGCTCTATTTGTTGTATATAAACAGCTTCTTTCCTGAGGTGAAAACAGCACCGATTTTCCTTTGATGGATTGTCATTGTACTAAACAAATGTAAACAAGACTTTTCTTCGGGATGGACTCATGCACCTGTTTGACCGTTTGACCTGTTTGAATGACCAGAATTCTGCAGGCACCTGGGGATGTCTTTCGATGCTACGGGCGCTCCAGGAGATGTCCAGGCCAAGCGAAGAGCGTTTGGATTCGCAGAGCTTCCGACGTGTCCCAGAAGTGGTGCTGCAAAAATCAATCCACAAAACATGAAAAATCCATTATCTTCATCATCCACATATGTATGTATATAATTATATGTATATATATATATATTCATACCATTACTATCCATTCATTAGCTAATATTGCCTGTTTTTCATGCCATGTCGTGGCCATGTGTCAGCGCCAGGTGGTGCTCCTGGAAATTGTGCAGCTGGGCGAGATAGCAACAGCTTGAGCTGCACTTCGTGTCTCCCTGGGCTCCATGAAACGGAAGATCTTTGCATCGCCTGCGGCTCTAAAGATTATGTGCCCTGGATTCGACCCAAAAATCGACGAAGAAAATTTTCGGAGGCCTTGGCGTTGATGATAGATGCGCCATGGAACCAAATATTGGGGTTGTACAGAACTTGGGAGTTGCAATTTCAATGGGGACAGTCATTACATTAACCATTGGATTTTGGTGTAAGCTACAACCCACTGCTATGGAAACCTCGCCTTTTTTATGACAACGACACAGATGTTGGAAAGCTGGTGGAGCCAAGGTGATCCTGGTGCTCGTAGGACTATTGTGTGTATTTGGGATTGCACTCCTGTACGTGGTCCTAGTGAAGGAAGGGAAGACGAGCAGGCTGGCTCTATGATCTCTATGGGATGTGCAGAGTGCCGAAATGTGCCGAAATCGGAGTAGGATTGTGCTCAGTGGACAGGTCTGTGGGGTCAACATGTTCAAGCAATTTCACATCTCGCCTCACAGCAGACAGCATGAATAGTTGGCTTTTCAAGAACAGTGTGGAGTCCACGGAGTCGGCTTTCTTTGTTCATCTTTGTTCCTTTTTCATCCTTTTCCGGACGTTTAACTGAGCCGCTCCAGTGATGCTCAGTTTACATGCGCGAGAATGTCAGGCAGCCCGGCAGCCTCTTGATTGCAGCGCTTGGCTTGGGTCAGATGGTCACGGTGGTCCAACAGCTCACTGCCACTTGGACAGAATGTACAGACGCCAAAGCAAGGATTACTGGGCGAGACTTCAGGCGAGACTTCAGGCGAGACTTTCGTAATCCAATTTGAAATTTGGAGCCAGGGCATGTGCTGAGGTGATCCAGCAGTTCAAGATCGTGTGGGGCCAGCCTTTTTCGAGTATTTTGGAATTTCTGGAGCTTCTAGCGTTTGATCTGGACCGGGCATCTGGCAGCCTGGGGTAGTTTCTTTTTCTCTTGCACAAAGAAAGCACTGGAGAGGTGTCAAGTAGAACTTAATTTAAATATATTAAAATTATGATTTAGTGCGAAAGCTAGCTTGCTAGCTGGAGTGAGCAGACGCCATGAGCTATCATGTCGAAATCCCCATCGGTGGTTCGAATCCTGCTGCGTCCATGTTGATGTTTTTTGCTTGGTTTTATGCACGTTTGCACGTATGCATGTATGCATGTATGCATGTATGCATGCATGCGATGTTGTGATGTGATGTGATGTGGTGTGACGTGATCTGACCTGATGTGATGTCATGTCATGTCTCTTTGTTTGTATCAGGGGGTCGAAGGAGTTAGATCGACCCTTTTCCCATGTTTCTGACAGAACGCATAACATGGTCATACCTGTTTCGTGGTCTGCTCGGTTCTCATACTTGAGCAACAGCTGGCTCTCAAAAGCAATGGCTGCTAGCCGTTGGATAAGTCCTCCATTGTTTCCCTTCCCCCAGGTTCGAATCCCGTCGCGTGCTACTTCAACATAGAAGCCTGAAATTGCGAGATGTTAGGGTGAGAATTGTGTCCTCCCAGCTGATTTAGACATCCACCTTTTAGTGTTTGGTAAAGTTAGTGAAAAGTTCACTACAGCATGTGGGACACGATTGACGAGGTCATGAGTTCAGCTGCAATTTTTCACCTGGTGCTGCAAAGGTGCTTAGCCTCCTGACAGATACCATGACTGCTCATGAAAATGGTTTCTTGAGAGTCTTGAGACATGTGAACCCACAGCATGTCATCAGGACATTGTCAGCGGCCTTAATGGACACCTCATTTGGCGCGACCTTTTTCCCAATTTTTCAGTTCAAAAATTGAACCTAGACAGGTCGCGGCACACCACATATTCTCTGGGTACACATCTCTCCTTGCCCAACTAGCTTTTGTCCCCTTCCCTTTGGCCTCAAGTGATCACTTGTGGCATGAGTACTCTGATTGGTTGATAAAGTCGCGGGCTAAAATCGGCATGAAACTACCAACAAGTCAGTTATTGTGTCTTTGTTTCTGTGACGTGGCAACAACCATGATGTCGCGCCAGGACATGGTCTCTATTGGCTGCGTCGCACCATTGAGTCCAGTGTTGAAGTTCTCAATTCGAACGCTCCTGGTGGGAGGGTTTGGGCCAGATGGTTTGGGCCGGTTTTGGTCGAGGGTTTGAGCGCCAGTTTGAGTGCTGATTTCAGTGCATTCTATGTGTTGTGTCGATATTGTATCGATTGTGTGCTCCTTGTTCTTGATTTTGCTGCTCTTTGTGTGACCCTTCCAATGCACTGAAATTGAGCCTTGATCACTCGACTTCCGATTTTCCGCTGCACAGGTGCTTCTATTCTTTGTTGTGGCTTGCATGGTTCACTGCGTTTACATTGCATACAAGCGGGCCAAAACTTTCCGCATCAGCCTCCTTTTACGAACAGTCGGCAACTTTGTCACAGATGCCCTGTTTTGAGCTGCGAAACTGAATGTTTCCCCTGAGATGCACCGAGTTGTTCTTGGATCTAGAAAGCCAAAACCTGATTAGATTTTTGATTCACGCTGGCTTTTGTCTGCTGTATCCGACAGCATTTGGAACACCTACGGCGTAACGTCTGTGTATGACTTGTTTTGGACTGGCCAGCTTGGACAACGGAACGATTTTGAGACTTTTGCAGCGTTTGATTTTTCAAGGTACTCTCTTTATGGTCTTCTTCATCTCCCTTTGTTCCTCGATACTGGCACCCTTCCGCTGCCACATACATCCAAATGGTCTATGGACGGTGCAGTCGTATGATGAGGCCAGGGACTGGGTGCAATTCGAATTGAACTCTAATGTCACTGTGAAGATTATGACAGCTGATGACAGCTGTTATGATGCCGAGGTGTTCTGCGATGGGACCCAGGAACACCTGCAAATGGCATTGGTTGGAGGATTTGCCTGTCGCTCGGACCAATGACGATTGTATATAGATGGGCCGACCTCGAGGATTCCGTTATGTGAATATTGTTACGCCTAGATGGAAACAACTTCAAGAGTGCAAACACTCTAATCTCTGTGTCCAGTGTGTTCGACCCCTTTCGGAGGCAAAGGAAGAATTGGATAGAGTAACGGTCATTCAAAGATAACAAAGAACGCGAACCCTTGAAGTTCTTTACGAAAGTAGTTCAAGGTGTGGAAATGTGGAACCTATGGGAACATGGGATCCTATGGGTCTGTTTCCAATTTTTCCACTTCCAAGGTTTGCTCCCCGTGAGCTTCTTGGTCGTTAGCGTTTGGATCATCGTCTACCAATTGCCCAAGCGACTGGAGAATGCAGATGTGCAATTCATCCGCGCTTGCTCGTTTCTATTTATTCGCTTTAGAAACTTGGAAAAATGAAAACACAACATGTCATCAGACTTCATCAGACTTTATCAGACTTCATCAGATTTCATCAGACTTCATCAGATTTCATCAGATTTCATCAGATTTCATCAGACTTCATCAGATTTCATCAGACTTCATCAGACTTCATCAGACTTCATCAGACTTCATCAGATTTCATCAGATTTCATCAGATTTCATCAGACTTCATCAGACTTTATCAGACTTCATCAGATTTCATCAGATTTCATCAGATTTCATCAGACTTCATCAGATTTCATCAGACTTCATCAGACTTCATCAGACTTCATCAGACTTCATCAGATTTCATCAGATTTCATCAGATTTCATCAGACTTCATCAGACTTTATCAGACTTCATCAGATTTCATCAGATTTCATCAGATTTCATCAGACTTCATCAGATTTCATCAGACTTCATCAGACTTCATCAGACTTCATCAGACTTCATCAGATTTCATCAGATTTCATCAGATTTCATCAGACTTCATCAGACTTTATCAGACTTCATCAGATTTCATCAGATTTCATCAGATTTCATCAGACTTCATCAGATTTCATCAGACTTCATCAGACTTCATCAGACTTCATCAGACTTCATCAGATTTCATCAGATTTCATCAGATTTCATCAGACTTCATCAGACTTTATCAGACTTCATCAGACTTCATCAGATTTCATCAGATTTCATCAGATTTTATCAGACTTCATCAGATTTCAGCAGATTTCATCAGACTTTATCAGACTTCATCAGATTTCATCAGATTTCATCAGATTTCATCAGATTTCATCAGATTTCATCAGACTTCATCAGACTTCATCAGATTTCATCAGATTTCATCAGACTTCATCAGATTTCATCAGATTTCATCAGATTTCATCAGACTTCATCAGATTTCATCAGACTTTATCAGACTTCATCAGATTTCATCAGATTTCATCAGACTTCATCAGATTTCATCAGATTTCATCAGACTTTATCAGACTTCATCAGACTTTATCAGACTTCATCAGATTTCATCAGATTTCATCAGACTTCAGACTCAGACTTCATCAGATTTCATCAGATTTTCAGATTTCATCAGACTTCATCAGACTTCATCAGATTTCATCAGATTTCATCAGATTTCATCAGACTTCATCAGACTTCATCATCAGACTTTCAGATTTCAGATTTCAGAATCAGACTTTATCAGATTTCATCAGACTCATCAGATTTCATCAGATTTCATCAGATTTCATCAGACTTTCATCAGATTTCATCAGATTTCATCAGATTTCATCAGATTTCATCATTTTCATCAGATTTCATCATTTAGATTTTAGTTCACATTGGTCACATTGGTCACTGAGCGAAGATGTGGTGCCGTCTAGGACCTGGAGCCGAAGTCTTCTCGGTGCTTTTCTTGGCCCGAAATACCTTGGTGGTCCTTTGCCCGCTGCTGCCCTCCTCAGCTGGCAAGGCTAAAATGGCCATAGAAAGTTCGTTGATTTACCCATTAAACATGTTGATTTTCCATAGTTATGTTAGTTTTAATCCGGATAAACAACAAAAAACATCAAACAACTTAGAGTCTCTTCTGAGAGGCTAAGCACATGTGAGCACATTGCAGCATGCTGTATAACTACTTTATGGCAACATGATAAATATGAAGCACATATCATCATGTCTCGTCACATGTCATCACGTATCTTTCACATTCTAACACCATGCCAGCTGCAGGTGGTCTGCATGAACATTCTCTTGTATGGCAGCATTGTGATCACTGCCTTCTACAAACCTTGGCGGGCGCCAGCATGCAATTTTTTAGACCTTCTTCTGGTCACCGGGATGCTAGCACCATGGTATTGATTCATATTTTCAACACAGGCGAGCTTCCAGTGATCCTTGGTCCAGGTCATGTTTTCGTGGGGTCACCGTGGTTTTTCTCTCCATTTCATGAAACACATTGGGCCAAATATATCTGAATATGCTGAATACAGAAACACCTGACGCTGCCCGCCATTTTCATGGTATCGTGCAAGAAGTGCGTTTGCTCTGTCCCAAATCTGCAGAGGGTGTCAGGTGGTTTGAATTGGTTTGAATTGGTAGTTTGATGATGTCTGATGTTTGATTCAGGTAATCCTTGACATGGGCTCCCTCTTTGTCACAGAGGTGGACACCAGCAAAGTCACCGCAACATGTGTCTTTGGCGTGTCAAAATGTACCATGGTTACCAGGGATGGTAGATGAGCGGCTGTGCTTCAGACCGTGTTTATACCGACGTTCAGCAATTTTTAGCACATTGAGGCGTGGTCTTCTTCAGTCTCATGTTCCTGGCGATCGCCGCAGCAATATTTTATGGAATAGCAAAGCACTTTTTCGTCAGATACAGGAGTCAACGATGTTGTCAGCTTTGCAAACGGGTTTGACACATTTTGAAACTGTCGGAGTATGCTTTGAGCATTCTGTCGCTGTGTTCAAGTCATGGTGTCACGGTGGTTTGCAGCGCTTCGGCTCTGTGGAAGCTTCAATCTCTGCAGGAAACAGTTCCGCTTCTTCTTGTGCCATCAAAAAGTCCCTCGGCCAACTTGGCAGTAGACATCAATAGACCACTGCCTTTGTCCCTCGAACAAAGGTCGTCATTCTTGGGCCTTCCGTTGATAGAAAATAGCAGTGAACTTGCAACTGCCATTGCTCGCTGATACCTAACGCTTTGCTAATAGACCAACTGCAGCCATGGATATCGGTTTGACGAGAGAATGATGAGAATGTGGGAAAAAGATGGAAGAAGCTCATGTGAACAGAAGCAGAACAAAGAAACCCTCGACGAATTTTGTATCACCAATCAGTACCCATCTTTAGCAGGAATAAAGCTCCCATTCATCTTGGAATCTTGGGCGCCTACATTTGGAACCTTTTTGGCCGGGAATCATCGGGTCTGAAGGTAGCAGCTGGGAGTCTAGCACGATTGCTGAAGATGGAGTTGCAGAAGCGTGGCCCGCAATTTAACACGTAACTTGGTGGCTCGAGCGCCGTTGTGTTTCCGGTGCCTGGTTACTTACAATATGTGATCGTTGGCTGCTACATGGCATATATTTATGCTGTAATTACCAGTAGTACAGCACAAGGTGGTGGTGGCGGAATTTTCAAAGATAGGACAGTATAGGAGAGGTGAGTTGTTGTGATGCATGGATGGCAGAGCGAATCCACTGATGGACCGAAAGGTGGTTGGAGTGGTGTTTGTTGGGGTGGTTACAATGGTTACAGTGGTCACCTCACCCACAACTGCTGGATGTAGTGTGATGTAGTGTAGTGCAGCTGTAGTTGTAGTGCAGTGGAGTTGTAGTTGTGGTGTAGTGTAATTAGTGTGGCGCAGATGCAGTTGTAGTTGTGGTGTGGTGTAATGAGTGTAGTGCAATGTAATGTAGTGTAGTGTAGCGTGCTGTAGTGTTGCATGCTGTAGTGTAGTCTAGTCTAGTGTAGTGTGGTGTGGCGTGGTGTAGTGTGGTGTTGTTTAGTGTAGTGCAGTGGGGTGTAGTGACGCGTAGCGTAATGTAGTGTAGTTATGTGTAGTTGTAGTTGTGGTTGTAGTTGTAGCTGCAGCTGTAGTTAGTGGAGTGGAGCGGAGTGGAGTGGAGTCGAGTGTAGTGTAGCGGCGTACCGTCGTGCAATTTAGTTAGTGTAATTTAATTAGCGCAGTGTCGTGTAATGTAGTGTAGTTGGAGTTGTTGCCGTAGTTGTAGTTCTAGTTGTAGTTCTAGTTCTAGTTGTAGTTGTAGTTAGTGTAGTGTAGTGTAGCCCAGTGGAGTGGCGTCGAGTCGAGTGGAGTGTAATGTAATTAGTGTAGTGTAATGTATGTCGTAGTTGTAGTTGTACTTGCAGTTGTAGTTGTAGCTGTAGCGCAGTGTAGTGTAATGTAATTGAGTGTAGTGTTGTGCAGTGAAGTGAAGTGGAGTGGAGCGTAGAGTGGTGCAATGTAGTGTAGTGCAGTGAAGTGAAGTGGAGTGTAGTGTAGTTGTAGTTGTAGTTAGTGGAGTGGGGTGGAGTGGAGTGGAGTGGATTGGATTGGAGTGGAGTGCAATGTAATTAGTGTGGTGTAGTGTAGCGTAATGTAGTGTAGTTTTAGTTGTAGCTGTAGCTGTAGTGTAGTGTAATTATTGTAGTGTAGTGTAATTAGCGTAGTGTAGTGGAATGTAGTGTAGTTGTAGTTGTAGCTGCAGCTGTAGCTGTAGTTGTAGTGTATTGGAGTGTAGTGTAGTGTATAGTGGTGGTTGTAGTTTAATCTGCTACAAAACCTTCACGTTTTGCTCACTTTTGACAAGGTGCGCAATCCCTTGCGCCTGCCACACGAAACGACATCTGAACGTCCGAAAGTGGTCCGTACCCATGAGTTATTCACGTCGCTTCGCGACGGCAACCGCCCGCACCGCATCGTTGGGCTCACACAGCAGGGGCATTGAGACCAAAAACATCCGAAAGTACTGATTGTCGGAAAAAAAAACGCGAAGAATTTGATGGCCATGTATAGCGGACCAACGCAGTTCAAAAAATAACTAAAAACATGAAAAAACGGCGAAATTGCTGTTATTTACAGTGTTTTTGCGCGGTGAGAAGCAGAAACCACTGCAAATACCATGGTTTTTGAGGGTCAGGTGGCCAAAAACACTGTAATTTACAGTGTTTTTTTAACCAACGTCAAAAAACACTGGTATTTACGATGTTTTCATTCACACCGTAACATAAAACAGCGTAATTTACGAGGTTTTTGGAAGTTTTGAAGCTAGCCGTCAAGCATGCAGAAAACAGAAAAACACTGTAAAAACCAGTGTTTCTGCTATCACAAAACGACGAAAATCAGTCCGAAAACGGGTCCAAAAACTCAAAAATCCGCCTCCGGGCCAGGCCACCTGCGGAACCGCAAAAAAAGATGTTGCAAACCAAAAAATTGAAGTCAAAAAGTTGAAAAACACGGGTTTTTTTCACTTTTCGCTTGCCGATTTTGGACGGGCGCGTTCACGAACAGGTGTCTTCCGTACTGTTTTTTACAGTGTTTTTTGAAGGCGAGCGTCACGACCTATCAAAAACAGGAGGTTTTGGCCGAAAAATGCCCCCCCCCCCAGGTAAACCTGTAACCTTTTACGAGTGCCATCCGGAAGATCACGCCCCAGCACCTTCGGTGCGGGCGGATTTTTTCGAAACTTTTGACTTGGAAATGTGCTTCGCGCCACAACGGCGTGCACTTTTCGACATCTCAGCTTCCAAAAGTGTTCCGAAGCTTTTCACTTGCAAATGTGCTTCCCGCCACAATGGCGTGCAACTTTTCATCTCTCATCTGGCTACATGGCCCCGCACCCTCCGCTTTAGCGAGTCTGCTTTTCGACCCCCCGGAGCCACAAATCATTGGAAAAACAGTGAATCGCGACTTTCCTGCCTTTTCGCGCACCTGAACCTTCTTTCTTCTGAGACTTTCTCTTTTTTGATCTTCTTTCTTCTTTTCTTCTCTTCTCTGACTCTTCCCATCTCTGCTTTTCATCTGTTCATATTGTCGGAAGTTTGACTTCTAAACTTCCTTCGGCTATGCTATGTTTTGATGATGGGAGGAAAAGATAGTGCCTGAGACAAAGCATTCAGCAACACCGCTTGCTTATGCCAAAATCTGTGGACCTTGTGAAATTCGTGAATTTCTTTCGTCCTGCACCATGTCATGGTTAGAGCTGGAGCCGAGGTTTGTTGATTGCGATGACCTGAACGATCCCACTCGTGTCCTTAACTACGTTGGTCAAGACACTGAGACTCTGGTGGTTCTGGGCAGTCCAGAATTGCTGACGCGGAAGTGGTGTGTTGGGGAGATCTGCACTGCCAGGATCCAGAGGCAGAATTCGTCGTTGGAACCCTCGGAATGTCGAACTGAGAAGAACTCTTCCAGGGTGAAATTTGAAAGATTTTGAAAGATTTTCAGAGATGAAATGAACACAAAAAATACACAATGATACACATGATGCAGATAAGACATGATAAATACATTGGAGTACTCTAGCACATAGATTCGCATGATTTTGCAAGCAGACCTGTCACGAGGGTTAGCGTATGCTGAAGTAACTCATGCAAGGAGCGGCTAGGACCGGCTAGGACCGGCTAGGACCGGCTAGAACGTTGGATCCCAAGTTTCCAGGTACCTCCCCCTAGCGGGGCTCAATTTTGTGGTCCAACCCTTGCCTGGCTGGGTGTGATGCATCATGATCAGCCTCACACGGCATCCTTTTGACCCTTATATGGATTATATATATATATATTTATGAGAGAGAGATATATATAATATATATATATATGTAGGCTGTTGTAGCCTTGTTTTGTACTTTCTTCATAATTTTTTGTATGTCCTTATTTCAAATCTCTCTCTCTCTCTCCCCCTCTCTCTCTTTTTCTAACTCTTTCCTTCCGTATCTATTTTCCACCTATGCATCGAACCCAAAAGGCATTGATCTTCGGCTTCCGCCTTGAGGGCATTTTTCTACCCACGTTCTTGTCACTTTTCAACTAGAGATTTTCTTTCCGGAGATGTTTCACCTATCTCACAGAAGCCTCGACGCTGGCAGCAGGTGAAGAAACACACTGTTCCGATCTAATATTGCCATTCACTCCATGTCACACCAGCTCTTGGACACCCAAATGCATGTCCTGGCTAGATCGGGCTAGCTTTCATACATGTTCGTACCTTTCCCTGGCCTCAAGTTGCATACCCCCGTCTCTCGATTAATTTCCCACCAAGTCTAGAAACCCCAATCCCAGCTCCAACATTGCAAAGAGAGTACGGCGAAATGTCAAGGATTTGGTGCTTTATCGTGCTTTTCCAATTCTGCCTAAATCCACGTTTAATATCGTTTAATATGCGTTTAATCTATTTCAATTTCACTCTTGGATTTCTGGGATGTGAATCTTTCATCGATTTTACCCCATTGAGTTGCAGCTTTCGTGATTTTGTGAGGGTTCTACCCCGGTCAGGGTGGATACTGTGGTTTTGGCACTCCCTGGTTATGTGCCCCGGCGTTGGATCCGCTTTCGCAGTATGTATGTCTCACATTGTCTCACTGTCCATGATTCTTCTGAGCGATAAGAAAGACTTAAACTAGTACTGCTGGAAAACATAGTTAAAATTCATGAGCTATCCTTTTCAGCTGAAACATCAGTCAAGGAATCGAGAAACCGGTTTTCACCTGAGTTCATATTGGCACATTTGGCCCAGGTCGAACCAGACAAGACCTTCATTGAAAGCTATTCTAGCATTGTCCCGGACATCACAGAGCTGGCAAATTACAATCTTGGCCTGACAGCAACTTGGCCAAAAACACCAAAATAGCGTTAAACACATCTTTGGTTTTCCGGATGTTTTACATGGGTTTGTTTGAAGAAGTGTTAGCCACAAAACCCATCGTTTATTAGCAGTTTATTCATAGTGGCTTATTGTTTATCATCATTTTCCCATATGTTCCCATACTTTACCATGTCTGTTCCTTATCAAATTGGCACAGCTTCGGCCAAGATTCGGCATTTTGTGTCTCAGGAGGTGGAAGAGACGCTGCGCTGGATCAGCACTGTGCCAACCACTGCTGTTCCATTCCTGACACCAGATGCGATTGAGTTGATGGGCAACGACTTGACGGGAACCAGTAAGAAACAGATGAACCTTGGCATTGCTACTACGATGACGACGACGACTACTACTACTACTACTTCTTCTTCTACTTCTACTTCTACTTCTTCTTCTACTTCTACTTCTACTTTAATATTGCTTAGCCAATTTGGTTTATTTTGGTACTTTTGCGTCCTTGGATTTGTGAGATTTGGACATTTTTGGCAAAGCCAAGGATTTCGAGCGGCGAACCGGACTGTGTAGTCTTAGCAGATCTTGAGAACATCGAGGCTGTTGCAACTGTTCTTCCCTCAGAATGGCCATGTCGGCCATGTCGGCCATGTCGGCCATGTCGGCCATGTCGGCCATGTCGGCCATGTCACACGTTGGAAAATCGTGTAAATCAATGGAAAGTTAAACTATCTCCCAATGTGACGTCGCATCAATTGCATCAACATACTTCATGAAAGTCATGATGCTGGCGCCTCTTGAAAGGTGCTATGGGAGGACACCTTTACAATCCCTTACCATCCTTTAACTCCTCACACTTTTTCCCCATCTCAACTAATATCAGATCTAATCAGTACTGTAACATACTCCGACTAATCTCAACCAAGACCTGAGGCTTACATCCTGCTGGATCTCATCCTGCCCAAGCTGGCTGGGAGTCATCGGGACAGCATGCCAGCAGTGTTGACAAAGGCAGGGACCTCATTGAGGGAACAAGGAGACAAGAAGCACAAGCATTGCAGCGGGACATGCAAGATGGTTTTGGCCTCGGCAAAATCCTTGAACACATGCATGAGGCTAAAGAAAACTGAAAGAGGCATGTTTAGATGTTGTTCATGTTACAAGACGTTACAAGAGTTTCCAATTCTTTGCTGCCCAAAGAGTCATGTTGGGTGCATTTGGGTGCGTTTGTTTGGTCAGGGAGCGCCCTTGCCTGCGACGACCGCGACAGTGCTCATGATTTGCAGCGAAGGATGTTTCAGGTTCCTGGACTGATGGGGACGGTCAGGGACCAATTGGGGGCCTGTTCCAGGGTTCAAACTGATGGTCAAGACAAGGTGGTAGACCGTTCGAGCATTTGTCATTTGAAGATCCCAGGGCTGTCAATAGGCACCAAACCAAACTGTCACAACATGTGAACTTGTGCTCTCTTCACGGGTTTAAATGGATTTGCAGTGTCAGTCATGTCAGTCAGTGAAAACATGTGAAAACATTTCACTCTATTCCGTCTATTCCATCTGTTCCGTCTATTCCGTCTATTCACCTGAGGTCTGTAGAGGTGGCGTCATGGCTGCTCTCAGTGATCAAGTTGGAGAAATGTTGCGTTTTGCCTATCATAGCAGAGGACTGCGCTTCCAAACTTCATCAAGCTTCAACCTCCAAAGACAGCAGTTCCTGTCAGTTCGTGGTTTGCCTTGTGGATGGTGAATCATGGTGAATCATGGTGAATCATGGTGAATCATGGTGAATCTTACAGTTTCATACAGTTTCGCTTTTTCAGGATGGCTTCCGCTTCCCAAGCCAAGCTTTCTATGATGACCTGGTGGCCAATCAACAATTGTCAAAGCTGGACCTGGATACCTATGTGCACATCCTGAAAGCAGTTTTTGAGGCGGGCGGTGTGAACAAGTTTTGAATCGTTTTCGAACTGAAAGTCCTCGAACTATCACCCAGATCAAGTGCAGCAAAGTGCAAGATTTGAAAGAAATGATACCAAGTGCCTGAGAGATCCTGAGACTGAATTACTTAAAAATATATACTTTAATGATATTGAGCCAGTCGAAGGGTGTCGTGGATGTTTCTGGCACAGGAGATTGCAGTCGTTTTCCCGCCGGAGAACTATTCTTCTACACAGGAGGATTTGGATCTGCGATCCAAGCAGGTCCATCGTGTGCACGGATTCATGAAATTTCACCGTACCATTTCAGGTTGTGTGAAGTGCAGCAACGGAAACTCAGGTGTATTTCGGTATTTCGCAAACCTTTTAACCTGCAAGATTATCAGATTGTGCTGTTGAGTTGTTGATTTTGGGCACTTGCACTGGAGTTTCTGAACCTTGCAGTGTCAATAAGTTCTGTCGCTATTCTGCCACTGTCCACGACAGCGACTTCACATTCAGTCACTCAGGGTTCAACGAAGCTGGCTCTCAGAACCCAACTTGAAGCAACTTGCAGATGACAACATAATGATAATAACTATACAATACCGATACCACATATAATAACCAAAATAATTACAACCACAATTGACAACACGACAAAAACATGACAATTGCATGGTGAAATTGCCACGATGCCGGCAGCCCCCGGCAGGTCACTTGGCGTCTTCAGAGCGGAGCGTTGAAGCCCTTGGCTTCAAAGTTGCGCCAGGCACGGGAAATCGGTGCTTAGAAATCGATGCATCGGATGTGTCGCAGTTGTGTTGTCTCATTGTAGTAACTTGGATGTCACTTAGATGTAACTTATAAGTAACTTAGTAGGATTGTTGGAGAGGCTGTTGATCAGAGATGCAAGCAGCGGTTTGGCCAGTCCGATTGCTCATCAAAATCTGGCACTAGCAACCTCTCCAATCACGCCGTCGACTACAAGATCATGGTTTCCCAATCTTTCTGAGAGGATCTGAGAGGTTCTGAGTGCATCTGTCTTTCCAGTCTCTTGCGGACCAGAGCCACAGCCGCGCAAATGATTTGCTGTGCTGTTGGACGGAATGCTTAGAGATTAAGATCAGCTCCCATGAGCCACCTGACCATCCCAAGCGGAAAAAGATGTGTGACAATTGCGACATGAAAACATGCTGGAAAACATGGGAAAACCAGGAATATCATGGAATATCTTAAGCACCCCCAGCAATCCTAGATGGCCAGGGGCGCAGACAAAGCAAGACTAGCGATGATTTTCTGCAACTTATCCTTCGGTCAAATAGGCTGTTTTTGTGGAATATGCATGGCCTTTGAACATGTTCGAAGTTCAAAGACCATAAGTTTGACACAGCTGTGCTGCTTTGTCACTTGAACAGTGTTCGAAACCACTGTTGGTTGATGATTGTGGAGGTTATACTCCCTTTTTACACTTTCATTATGATGATGATGATGATGATGATGATGATGATGATGGCGGTGGTGGTGATGATTGTGATGATTGTGATGATTGCGATGATTGTGATGATTGTGGTGATTGTGATAATTGTGATAATTGTGGTGATGATCATAATGATGATTGTGATGATGGTGCTGATGATGATGGTGCTGATGATGATGGTGCTGATGATGGTGATGATGATGATGATGATGATGATGACGATGACGATGATGACGATGACGATGACGATGATGATGACGATGACGATGATGGTGCTGATGATGATGGTGCTGATGATGATGGTGCTGATGATGGTGATGATGATGATGATGATGATGATGATGATGATGATTGTGATGATGGCGCTGATGATGGCGCTGATGATGATGGTGCTGATGATGATGGTGCTGCTGATGATGGTGATGACGACGAGGAGGAGGATGACGATGATGACGACGACGATGCTGTGAATGGTCTGATGACCTTTTGAGCGGAAAATGCCAAGTGTTTTGCTGTGTCCAATTGAAGGAGTCCTTGCCAATGGCAGTTGCTCGTGAAGCTGATCAGCAGGTTTGGCGCAGCAAGCTTCCCATTGGGAAGACCCGGAAGACCGCCAGAGAGTTTGCGACAAAAAAGAAGCAGAGAGTGCTGCAGATGTGAAACATGCAGTGAAGATGGGCTGACCCTGCAATTCACAAGGCCCAAAATTATCAAAATTCAACATCACACTCTAAACAGTACGTGGCACATTCTCCTGATATTGCAGGACCGCTGGGGCTCTGCTTCAAGTCCCCATCATGAGTGCTTTTCAAATCCGTTTTTCATAGTTGTTTTATGTTGTTGCCACCGAGTAGAAGTGAAAATCATACGCCCCGACTCCAGCAAAGCCTCTTTCCCAGGAGAATCCTCCTCGCATCATTCGCTGTGAGCATGGTGCAGTAGTAATGTACCCAGCTCCAGAATAGCTGGAACATTCATTGGAAACAGTGGAAATCGTAGCAAAATCCAAGGACTTAGCGCTGATAAGCAGCCTTGAAGATCAACAGAAGCTTAAGGCCCGTATATGTCAACAGTCAATATCGGTATGGTATGGGTAAATACCATTGCTCCTCAACATGAACGGTTTGGTGCTACGAATGGAGAATGTCGTGGAATCATTGCATCCTTAAATCCTTCAAGCTCAAAGTTTGCCCAGACCGAGCAGAAAGCACCTGCGTTGGAGTTCTCAGCAGATCTACAGACATGTGGCATCATGTGGCTGTGTTTGACCTTTAAACGAGAAGCTGTATTCTGAACAGGGGAGAAAAACAAGTTGAAGTTGAACCTTTTCCATTCTTTGAAGACACTGGTCAGTTTATATCACTCTTTGAGGATCAAGAAACGACGAGTGCAGGCGTGGAGGTCAGACAATGATCTGGCTTGGTATCGGAAGTTGAGCGCAGGAAACGACAATCAAGACTCCCGAAGATCCACAGTGTTCTGGTGTGGTTTTGAGTTTTGATCCTGCTCCTTTTCAGGACAACGAAAGATTGAATTCGCATCGCTCGGGTCACCTGTCCAGAAGCTTGTGCCTTCAAGAATGTAGAATGTAATCAGTGGTGTCCCAACATGTGGATTATCAACGGCCTCTGCCGGCAAGTTTACCATAGCCATAGTTTACCCCTTTGCCCTGCTTTGCTGAGATTGAAGCCAAGGCTTGCGTGCAACGGCAGCCTCATTTGTCTATTCTGCCTGGATCCAACTTGGAGAAATGATGTGCAACATTTTGCCACTGTCTTCTCACCGCAAAACCCCGGCAATACTAAATATGTATTGGACGGACATTGGCTTATGGAAATTGATGGAAATTGTTTAAAACACATGGTAAGCGATGGGACCTTCCCAAATTAGCGATACCCCTTTTCAAGGTTATGTCATTGTATTTCTCTAATATCCACATTAGCGGTACCCAAATTGGACGTTGATTTCTGTGAATTATATATACGTATAAAAATGTAGCAGTTTCCTGCAAGCGATACCCCCAAAGTTTACCATATATCATTATTGTACAAACGTGTGGTAAGCGATGGGACCTTCCCAAATTTGTGAATGTCCTTTCCGTGAACCTAGGGTTTTCGAGATTGCTCTTTTAATGAAAAAAACAACATTGGCTGCAGATTGTTGTAAGACTAAAGACTTGGGATACCTGAAGAAATTTTCTGGAAAGGATGACATGAAATCAGCAGCTGGAGCAGCTCAGGACATGATTTGTGATAATCCATGATGCACCACTGATGCATCACTGAATCACCTCAGCGTTCCTATTTTCGCAGTGAACAAGGCAGATCGGCCCTTCGACCCACTTCGATTTGAGGAATGGATTGAGGTGCCACCGATTTGACATTGCCAGAAATCGGCCTGGTGATCATACTGTGATCATACTGTGATCATATTGGCACACTGCCAATGTTGCTACTTCCAAGATCTTCAGCCGAGACGAACATCATTGTGGCACAAACTGAGCCAGGCTGGTGGCCCGCCAAAGAGCATTTGCAGGGCGAAGGGACTCTTGTGGATGCCTTGGACTTAGATCATATTCGATCAGGATCACTCTTCCTGAAGCTGGACATAGCTGGACACATTTTGACTTCAACACATTTTAGCTGCAAGTTTGCATCATTTTACATGCATGTGCGATGTTTGATTCGCTCTGATGTTTTGCAATCTCCAACACGATGTTTTGTCCAGTCCAGTGACATGAACTTCTTGGCCGCTGGCAGCTGAGGCAAGGAATTCCACGTCATGTGATTTTCCAACTCTCCGGCTGCAGGAGGGATCATGTCCCCACGTGTCCCCACCGCTTGTAGCACTTGATAGCATTTGCCAAGTGACGCATTCTGACGCATTTTGTATCATTTTGTATCCCATCCATTCCCATCCCACCATAAACTGAAAACTGAAATCAGTAGAACAAGATGTTGACATGTGATGCAGATTTGAAAATTGTTCGACATCAAGGACCAACCCGTTTGAAACCGTGCCTGCGGGTGGGTGCGGAGGCAAAGAAAAATGCTTGGATATTCTAGTTATTGATAGTTGAGGTGATCGTTGAGGTTGTTTGCAGTAGAGCCAAGTGAGAACTGTAGATGAGTGAGATGAAGGGGTGCCAAACTGACTGTGCCAAGCATTCCTCTCGAAGTTGAACAAGTCAGAGATGGGAAGCTACCAAGTGCTACCATCCTCCAAGGACTATTTCCAATCAAGTTTTGTTGTGATAGGAAATAGTTGAAATATGTTGAAATATGTTGAAATATGTTGAAATATGTTGAAATATGTTGAAATATGTTGAAATATGTTGAAATATGTTGAAATATGTTGAAATAGTCCTTTCATCCGAGCAGCTCCGAGCAGCCAAGGTCTCCAAGCAGCTCCCGACTTGTCTTCATTGGCGTGGGGACCTCGTCGGAACCCCTTGGCGGCGCCAGGGCGGTCCAGCTCAACTCTGACTGAGGCTGCTTCAGCCCTGAAAGATGGAGATGAAGAAAAGGCTCTTCCGTTGATTGAATCGTATTGAATCGTATTGTATCTTTGGCTCTGCGTTTGACATTTTTTTTCCAGAAATATCCTCGAGGTGAGACGCGCGCTGGACGCTTGTTTACGCTAAAAAAGGTCCGTGTCCATGACGCATTGGCGCTATGGACTCAATGGACTCTGAAGTTTTGTCCAGAGCAGTGACCACACCCAGATAAGCGCTACTTGGATTTGTTTTGAAGTTTGCTTGGAGCAGACCTGCATTGATTTAGATGTTGCCTTCAAAGACAAAAGATTCCCGACAGCTTGATGGTTCGGAGGCGATTCGCTTCTACACAGAAGAAACAGACAAGAAGGCATTGCTTTGCATCAGACTTCCCTTTCATATCCTTTCATACTAGTTGCACTAGGCTAGACTCATCCTTCAGACAGCAGGGATTTGTGCAAACAAGAACCAGAGACACCGAAAAATGAAAGCCATGGAAGCCCGGAACTGCTCTCTAAGAGAGATTCTGTACAGAGACTCCACATGGCAGAACCTACAGATCTGAGTGAAAACATACATCCAACTGCAGACCAGCAGCCAGCCACCCAAGAAGGGGAAGCAGTAGCTGGTAGTGGTGCAGCCGAAGTCGCAGCCGACACAGTGGCAGGAGCAACTGCAGACAAGCGGCCAGCCACCGAAGAAGGAGAAGCAGTAGCTGGCAGTGGCGCAACCAATGTTGCAGTGGGCACATTGCAAGGAGCAACTGCAGACAAGCAGCCAGCCACACAAGAAGGAGAAGCAGTAGCTGGCAGGGGCGCAACCGATGTCGCAGCGGGCACATTGCGAGGAGCAACTGCGGACAAGCGGCCAACGACCCACGAAGGAGAAGCAGTAGCTGGCAGTGGCGCAACCGATGTCGCAGCGGGCACATTGCGAGGAGCAAGTGCACACAAGCCGCCAGCTACACAAGAAGAAGAGGCAGTAGCTGGCAGTGGCGCACCCGATGTCACAGAGTCAAAATTGGGAGGAGCAACTGCAGACCAGCAGCCAGCCACCCAAGAAGGAGAAGAAGTAGCTGGCAGTGGCGCAACCGATGTCACGGAGGCCAAAGTGGCAGAAGCAACTGCAGACAACCAGCCAGCCAAACAAGAAGGAGAAGAAGTAGCTGCAGCGGGCACATTACCAGGAGCAACTGCAGACAAGCCGCCAGCTACACAAGAAGAAGAGGCAGTAGCTGGCAGTGGCGCACCCGATGTCACAGAGTCAAAATTGGCAGGAGCAACTGCAGACCAGCAGCCAGCCACCCAAGAAGGAGAAGAAGTAGCTAGCAGTGGCGCAACCGATGTCACGGAGGCCAAAGTGGCAGAAGCAACTGCAGACAACCAGCCAGCCAAACAAGAAGGAGAAGAAGTAGCTGCAGCGGGCACATTGCCAGGAGCAACTGCAGACAAGCAGCCAGCCACACAAGAAGTAGAAGAAGTAGCTGGGAGTGGCGCAACCGATGCCGCAGCGGGCACATTGCCAGGGGCAACTACAGACAAGCCGCCAGCCACCCAAGAAGGAGAAGAAGTAGCTGGCAGTGGCGCAACCGATGTCGCAGCGGGCACATTGCCAGGAGCAACTGCAGACAAGCAGCCAGCCACCGAAGAAGGAGGCAAAATAATTGGCAGCGGTGCTACGAATGTGGCAGCAGGCACATTGGCAGACCCGACAGTTACACAAGAAGAACGACAAGTAGCTGCCAGTGGCGCAACCGATGTCGCAGCGGGCACATTGCCAGGAGCAACTGCAGACAAGCCGCCAGCCACCCAAGCAGGAGGCGAAATAGCTGGCAATGGTGCTATGACATTGCCAGGAGCAATTGCAGACCACCAGCCAGCCACACAAGAAGGAGAAGAAGTGGCTGGCAGTGGTGCAACCAATGTCACAGCGGGCACATTGGCAGGAGCAACTGCAGACCAGCAGCCAGCCACCCAAGAAGGAGACGAAATGTCTGGTAGTGGTGCAACTGATGTCGCAGCGGGCACATTGCCAGGAGCAACTGCAGACAAGCAGCCAGCCACCGGAGAAGCAGCAGCTGGTAGTGGTGCGACCGAAGTCGCAGCCGCCACATTGGCAGGAGCAACTGCAGACCAGCAGCCAGCCACACAAGAAGGAGAAGAAGTAGCTGGCAGTGGCGCAACCGATGTCGCAGCGGGCACATTGCCAGGAGCAACTGCAGACAGGCCGCCAGCCACACAAGAAGGAGAGGCAGTAGCTGGCAGTGGCGCACCCCATGTCACAGAGGCAAAATTGGCAGCAGCAACTGCAGACCAGCAGCCGGCCACCCAAGAAGGAGAAGAAGTAGCTGGCAGTGGCGCAACCGATGTCACGGAGGCCAAAGTGGCAGGAGCAACTGCAGACAACCAGCCAGCCAAACAAGAAGGAGAAGAAGTAGCTGCAGCGGGCACATTGGCAGGAGCAACTGCAGACAAGCAGCCAGCCACCCAAGAAGGAGAAGAAGTAGCTGGCAGTGGCGCAACCGATGTCGCAGCGGGCACATTGCCAGGAGCAACTGCAGACAGGCCGCCAGCCACACAAGAAGGAGAGGCAGTAGCTGGCAGTGGCGCACCCCATGTCACAGAGGCAAAATTGGCAGCAGCAACTGCAGACCAGCAGCCGGCCACCCAAGAAGGAGAAGAAGTAGCTGGCAGTGGCGCAACCGATGTCACGGAGGCCAAAGTGGCAGGAGCAACTGCAGACAACCAGCCAGCCACCCAAGAAGGAGAAGAAGTGGCAGGGGTCAGCGGGGATGCAGCAACAGAAGAAGGCAACAAAGAATCTTGTGCAGCAGTTGCTGATTGTGATGACAAGGAGAGTGCCTTGCCTGAGCAGGCAGGGGTTGAAGTGGGCACGAACCCAGGCATTCCGTTGAGTGGAGAAACTGAGCACTTAGAGGAAACCCTATTGGAAGCATTGGAGAAGACGCGTGACCCAGGAGATGCTTCAGATGCTGATGCTCCTGATGCTCCAAAGTATGGTTTCGGCTGGTGGCGCCTTTCCCGTGTGTCGCCAGAGCCTGTGTTTGAAGTCCGCCATGTGGTGCACTACAAGGATGGCGTGCAGATGGGACCGCCGCGACTGGAAAGGCGCAGGCTGCGTTCTGGATACGTCTCAACCGGAAAAGCAGAGATCACAAAACCACAAAGCAGCCCCATGAGCGAAACTTGATTGCAGTTTACATCAGTTTACAATTTAGACGAGTGCCATGGTCAAGAGCTGGGGAAATTGCTCATAGTCGGGTATGTTCATACCACCATGAATCGGGAATTACAATGGCCTACAAAAGGATGCCCACTGATTTCCACTGCTAGCGGGATGACCAAAATCCATATACAATGTTTTGACCGTTGCACACATATCATTAAAATCTCATATAATATTATAATATCATCTATCTAGAAAGGAAATGAAAGGAATAGGTCCACGCAAAATCGCTGCCTCTGCGAAGAGCTGTGATGGCTTTTGTTCTGGGCTTGAGGGTCTGTTGTTGGTTGTCATGTTTTTCACCAACGCAGCAACACATTGACGTGCAAGTTGCCAAAGGACGTTGAAGACTGGCGTTGGCAAAGGCTTCTGGACCTTGTGTCCAATCCGTGTGAGCCACCGCAACTTGCGGGATGTGCACATTTGAGTGTCTCGGACAAGATGTGCTGAGTGTACGAGATGAAACATCTGAGCCAACACCATGTTAATACAATTTTAGACAAGTCTGGTCAGCGTGGTGCTGTCGAATGCAGAACATCGTAGACCCTTTTGTGGCGAAGCGGCTGCATTTGCTGATCTCAGGCTACTCCAGTGCAAAGATGGCTGTCCAAGATCTTACCTTGTCTGGTGGGTCAGGCAGGATCCCATGTTTGGCATCAAACTGTGTAACATGAGAAAGACAACACCATACAAAATGTTCAGATATGTTCAGTATCCCACAGACAAGATGGCAGGAGGCACTGTGACTGTGCGTGTGTGTGTGACTCAACTGGGTGTTTTTGTTGTGGCAAATTTCCTTCAGACATCTTTCTTGGATGCCACAGTAACTTGCAGGTTTGCCAATCATCGTCAGCACAGTCGCCAAGGAAGGCCCTGCGCGAAGAGCAGGCCAGCAATTGAGACCCCCAGGTACAGAGCGATTTCAGCCATAAACAGTTTCAAAGTTTGACCTTTGGTTTGTTTAGTACAGTATGTACAGTATCTTGAAATATCTTGAAGCCTTTCGACATCTTTCGACTTTCCATGACTCCCATGACTCAATGACTGTCACCAGGTGTGCTCCCAGGTTTTCAGCTCATGGCGCTGAACGGCCGCGACTTCAGCAAAGGGCCTTGGGTGGAGACTCCCGGGGATCAACTTCTTCCAGTTCTTCCAGCCGATGCGAAGGTGACGAAAGTTGGAACGCTGAAAGACGTTGCTGTATGTTGCTGTCATGGTTTTGGGATGTTTTGAGACAAACCTGGACTCCCGACATCAACAAGAGCAACAAACATATGTAACATTATGTAACATCTGACCTCGTCTTGTACATGAGACGGGTTTTTCGAACCTCACGACATCTTCTAATTTTGCGTTGAAATTGGCAGTGTAAACGCACCATCCCAGGTTTTTCCATGTTTTCCCTTCACTTTGTTGAACTGATTTGGCTCCAGGTGCATTTGGATTTGCTGGATCCGGCGCCACAAGAGCACGGGATCACTACACTCGCAGATAGAGTTGCAAGGATGCCATTGCTTCGTCCTCTTTTCAGGTGATGTGAATGCACTGCCATGCACTGCCCACAGGATACTCGATGCATCTCGATTCTCTCCGCCATCCACAGCTATCAACAACAGCCTGCCATAGCCTGCGCATCCATGGGTTGTTTCGCCGTGACAGATTTGACCGGAAGCTCCAAGAACTCCAGCACCGCGGAATTGGCCAGATTTGGATTTAGAGATTCGCGATGATCGCTGACTGTTTCATTCCATCTGAAAGCTTCTGATGAAGGTTTGGGTGAGCTGAACCGAAAGGAACTTTGAGGAGCAGGAGCAAAACGACCAACATTCCTTAGCCACTGATGAAATTGTGCCCAATTACTTGGCACCTCACCTTTCTCTGGGGGGTGATATGTCTGCGTCTTTTGAACTCGTTTGAGCTTGATTACCAAGTAATTTTTGGCTGCAATGCTGCAGCAGTTTTGTTCCTATGCGATTTCTTGCATTGCTGGTTTGCATGTTTTTGCTGAAACAAGTCTCGTGCTTTGCTTATGTTTCCTCTGTGGGTACCCATGACTAGCACTTTTCAAGGCGGGTCATACACTCACAACATCTCACAACAATTCCACCATGTGACAAAGCGGTTGCAGTGCCCCAGATCTAAGCATCTCTTAGCGACTTGTATCGACTTGTATAGTTTCAAGTACCATCATATAGTTTCAACGGTATTGAACACACCATCAGTACTTGCACCATGACTTAGCCTGAAAGCAACATCTACAACCCACATTGCCTGCTGCAAGATGCAGCAATCAACGGAAGCACTGAAGGTTTTTTGAATGCTTTGTCTTGATCAAAAGGGAGTGTTACGATGTGTTACGAAGAGACTGCATCCTTCGTTTTTAGCCTTGAAATGGCGTTGGTGTTGTGTGTTCAACAATGATCTTCACTTATCACAGCAATATTCAGATATTATTATATATATATATGATGTATATTATTATTACATATATGTCAAAATTTGGAACATCTTCACAGTTGGCCAAAGATGCCAAAAGCCGCCAAATTGCCGCCTCCGGAGAAGATTGAGCTGCTCCTTGAGGGTGAGATCATCAGCGAAGATGGTCGGCTTCCCAGACATGGCAGTGCTCAGAGAAGCATGTGGGCTTGTCATGGCTTGTTCGATGGGGCATGCCCCGACATGGCAGCTTTAATGGGTGCAGTGATGATGAAAGAGAGGACTCTATTCTTAGACAACCCATGTCGACAGTTTCAGAACTTCAGAAACACATGTAGTATTTTGATGTATTCTGTATTCCAAGCCAAAAATCGAAAACAGGTCAGGTGGCAAAAGGGATCTGCAGAGAGAGAGAGAGAGAGAGAGGCATAGCAACTGCATTGGAACATGATCGTGAAGTCCCCGTGGACTGTGTGCCCACGACGGAGCCAAGGCCAAAAGTTTGGGAAGAGTACATACAAGGTGCACGCCGTGCCACACCATGCCACACCATGCCACACCATGCGAAAAATGGTCATGTAGTGAGGGTCAAACCGCACTTCCTTTTCCGCTGCTGGATGCGTCGAAGGAATTGCCTGTGATTTTGACGATTTCAGCAACTATCTCAATGATGAAAAGCACGAAAATGACCACCCACAAAGATATTTTAACTTTAGCATGAAAGGGATGAAGTCATGACGAGCCCATTCTTTGTTAATCATATCTTTTCCTTCTTCTTCTTCTTCCTCTTCCTCTTCCTCCTCCTCCTCCTCTTCTTCTTCTTCTATGTCTTTCAGCTCCAGCTCAATTTGAGGTTATTCTTGGTCTTACTTTTGGACATTCTATGTGTCCACCATTGTCCACTGTCCACCGGCTCCAGGTGTATGAGGGCTTGGCCGGATTGGAGGCAGACCAAAAAAAAGTAAAGCCCTACCTGCTGGTCTGGCTTCATGGCATGGACAATGGGAGCATTGAGCCTGGATATCTCACGACTCTCCAGAAGAGATTGAGGCATCGGGTCATTTTCCTGGACACTCGGCCAATTTCACAGCAAATCTTGCGAGGTTTCATATGTGTGACATTTTTGAATATGTTTGATCACACTTCCTTGATCTGATAATATCTGATATTTAACGTTTCCGTTTTCCGACGCTCACCTGAGCCCATGAGGTTCCCATGAGCCCGCTAACACATGAAGGTGTGCATTACAACTGGGCTTGTGCTTTTCGAAAGCAGCAAAACAAAAAGCAACTAGGCGCGGTACATTGCTTTACATTCCATGCGCAGTGATGATCAATGATGCACAATGCACATAGCTGCCGTAGCCCAGGCGTTCTAAGCGACCAACATGCCACGTGCAAAACTGCACATGGCTGTCCAGTCTATGTGGGTACCCATGTGTGCATATGTGTGCATATCGTGCTGCAGCTGTGTACCAGTATGAACACTTGTAAACCCGTATCGCAGTTTGGGATGTTGGATGTAGAAGTGTTTTTTTGATATTTTTTGTCTGTGGCCTCGTGGGAGGTTTCGTTCATGGAACCCTGCATCAGGCAAGGCGGGCCGAAAGGGGGTTGCGGTACCCTGTCTATGCGGTCCTTTCAGATCTTACACCATCAGCATGGATCGAAGCATTTGCAACGACCCGCAAGTCCAACAGTGGATGTTCCCATCGTCCCAACATGGTTCCAACATGTTTCAAAAGTTTCAACACGACATTTCCCACCCACTGCAAGGGCTACCTGAACTCGCTGACCGCAAAGATCAGCGACTTAGCCTACGAGTTTGATGCTGAGCGCGTTCTGGTGATGGGGTGCCTTGGCCGAATCGGTGCTGGTGTGGCCAACGAATGTTGAGCAGATGAGTCATTGGAAGTGACATGAAGTGATTGTGAACATCAAAACTCTTACGATCTGTGGTTTTGTGATGTTTTGTGATGTTTTGTGGTTCAATTGATGTGCTTTCTGATTTCACCTTGAAGATCTGTGGAGCAAACGTAGTTTTTCATTCTTATAAATGATTGTTCCCCACCCCACCTGCCAGGTGAGGGTTGTTAGATTTTATCAGAGCTGTTGTCCTCCTTCTCCTCCTCCTCCAGTTTCTCCTCGACCATGTCTGCATCAACTTCCACCTCCACTTCCGCCCTGCCAACTCTTCGCCAAGCTCTTCGCCAACTTCCCAGCTCAGTGCGCACTGCTGGACCTCAACCTGGGACCTTCCCAGCTCAGTGCGCACCGCTGGACCTCAACCTGGGACCTTCCCAGCTCAGTGCGCACCGCTGGACCTCAACCTGGGACCTTCCCAGCTCAGTGCGCACCGCTGGACCTCAAGCTGGGACCTTCCGAGCTCAGTGCGCACCGCTGGACCTCAACCTGGGACCTTCCCAGCTCAGTGCGCACCGCTGGACCTCAACGGCCAGATAGAATGTCAGATAGAATGCCAGAAGATATGCCGGATAAAATGCCATAAGATTTGCCAGATGATATGCCAGATAGAATGCCAGAAGATATGCCAGATAGAATGCCAGAAGGTATGCCAGATAGAATGTCAGATAGAATGCCAGAAGGTATTCCAGATAAAGTGCCAGACTGTTTGCCAGAACATATGCCAGAAGATTTGCCAGATAGAATGCCAGATAGAATGTCAGAAGATATGCCACAAGATATGCCAGATAGAGTGCCAGAAGATATGCCAGGTAGAATGCCAGATAGAATGCCAGAAGATATGCCAGATAAAATGCCAGAAGATTTGCCAGATAGAATGCCAGAAGGTATGCCAGATAAAGGGCCAGAATGTTTGCCAGAACATATGCCAGAAGATTTGCCAGATAGAATGTCAGAAGATATGCCAGAAGATATGCCAGATAGAGTGCCAGAAGATATGCCAGAACATATTGCAGAAGATATGCCAGGTAGAATGCCAGAAGATATGCCAGATAGAATGCCAGAACATATGCCAGATAAAATGACAGAGGATATGTCAGATAGCATGCCAGAAGATTTGCCAGTAACAAAACGTATAGATGTCATGGTGGGGATAACTCGAAGTAAAGTATTTTTTTTGATGCGCCAATGTCCAAGCTTGGCCAAACAGTTTCCTTTTTTGCCGTTTTCTCCTCCAAAATCTTGCGCTCAAGGATTGAGGTCAAATTTGCCTTATAGTTGATTTGACTAAGATTTGATGAACATTCTGATTTTGATGATGTGATGATATTTTTTCGTCGTTTTTTGTGGATCTCTAGAGCTCTGGATCTCTGACAGATATTCCATGGGTGGCTTTGGTGCCTTCCAGCTGGGCGGCTGGGCGCCCGATGCCTTCGATGTGGTGATCTCGGTGGCGGGCTACGGCTTGGGCACCTTGGAACCCGAGAGTGGCTCGGCACAGGGCCTTTGGAGCACGGAGATGCTGAAAAAATGCGAAAAATATGGATCAAAATGCTGATCATAATTTATAAGTTACATATAGTTATATAATTATAATCCCTTCCCCCTATTCCTAAACGTCCCCCAAATACTAAAAACTAGGTCCATCTCTAATTTCGGAAAATTTCAGATTGGCCAATTTGACTTTTAACCCCGGGGTGTTTATTATTAGGGTCCGTCCGATTTTTTTGTTTTTTATATTAAGGCTTTTAATTTCTTATTAGGGTCCCCAATTTTTGGCAATATTTTAATGGCGTTATATAAGGAAATTAAATTGATTTTGAAATCGGAAAAAATTGTTTTTATTAAGGATTAAATTTTATTAATAGGGTCCGCTTCGAAATCCAATTTTTGGCTGCGTTACATAAGGAAATTTAATTGATTTTGAAATCGAACAAACTAGTTTTTATTATTAAGGCTTTAATTTTATTAATAGGGTCCGCTTCGAAATCCAATTTTTGGCTGCGTTATATAAGGAAATTTAATTGATTTTGAGATCGGAAAAATGGTTTTTATTATATAGTGTTAAACAGTATTTTATTATATAATAGTATTAATATATTATCATATATATTTATTTATTTATTATCATTTATACATATACATATATATTATCATATATACATATATATACATATATATATATATATTCAATATCATATATATATTCACATATATTATCATATATTATATAATATATATCATCATATATTTACATTTTCATATATATATATATATTTATTTATTATCATATATATTACCATATATATATTATCAGGTATATATATATTCATATATATTATCATATATATTATTATATATAGTATCATATATATTATCATAATTTCATATATAGTATCAAATATAATATCATATTTATCATCATATATATATATTATCATTTATATTATCTTACATATTATCATATATATTATCATGTATACTATCATATATATATTATCATATTATTATCATATATATTATCAGAATCATATTTATATTTATATATATTTATATATTCATATATTCATATATATATATATATATCATATATATATATTATCATATTTATTTACATATATATATATTTATTTATTATCATATTTATATATTATCATATATATATTATCATATATATATATTATCATATATATTTATTATCATGTACATTGTCGTATATATATTATCATAGATATATTATCATAAATATATCATATATCTTATATATATATTCTCATACACACACATATATATATATATTATTTATTGGCTGTTTAGAATATGAACTTATGATTTATTTACAATACAATTATAATATCTTGTAATATATTGCAAGCGAAGGAAGTTTAAAGGTCAAACTTCCGACAATATGGACAGATGGAAAAGCAGAGGTGGGAAGAGTCAGAGAGGAGAAGAGCAGAAGAGAGAAGATCAGAGAAGAGAAAGAGTGAGAAGAAAGAAGATACAGGTGCGCGAAAAGGTAGGACAGTCGCGATCACTGTGTTTCGCCAATGATGTGTGGTACCAGAAGGTCGAAAAGTAGGCTAAAGCGGCGGGTGCGGAGCCATCTGGCCAGATGAGAGATGACAAGTTGCACGCCGTTGTGGCGCGAAGCACATTTGCAAGTGAAAAAGCTAAAAGCACCTCACGTTCGGAGCACTTTTGGAAGTTAAGGTGTCGAACAAGTGCTGGCCGTTGTGGCGCGAAGCACATTTACAAGTTAAAAAGCTAAAAACACCTCACGTTCGGAGCACTTTTGGACGTTCAGATGTTGTTTCGCGTGGCCGGCGCAAGGGATTCTGCACCTTGTCAAAAGTGAGCAAAACGTGAGGGTTTCGTTGCATTTCCTAAAACGATGCCAGGCGTGGGACATATGCAGAGGATCTGCCAGGCGTAGTACAAGAAGCATGTTCATCAGAGATGTTAGGGGGTCAGGGCATCAGATCTTCAGCTTTGCTAAGATGATTTTGCGTGACAGTGCAGCATTCCGTATGACCTGGCATGACTTTTTCGTGGCAGCGGCAATACTTTACTTTAGACAGATGGAATGGAAAAATTGCAAAACGCATTGGTACGAGGCCGTCAGCTCTGCACTCAACCTTCCAATTTTGCAGGAAGTCTCGCAGAATGCTTCGTTTTTGATGTTGTCAACTTCGAAAACATGAGGAAGTCTGGCAGAATTGTTTCGTTTTGACGTTGCCAAGTCCAAGAATTGAGGAAGTCTCGCGGAATTGCTGCGTTTCTTTTGTTGTCAAGTTCAAAAACTGAGGAAGTCTCGCAGAATAGCTTCGTTTCCAAGCTTGCAGATAGACAGATAGATTTTAGACCTCCGCCTGCTACTACTACTACTACTAGTACTACTACTAGTACAATTACAGCTACAGTACATTACACTAAGCTAATTACACTGCAGCACACTGCAACTAAAAATACAAAAACAACTACACTACATTACACAACACTACACTACGCTAATTGCGTGACATTTCAGTACAACTACATCTACAGCTGCAACCGCAACTACAACTACCACTACACTGCACTACACTACACCAACTAATTACACCACACCACAACTGCAACTGCAAATGCAACTTCACACTAATTACACTACATTACAACTACAATTCCACTACACTACAGCTACAGCTACAACTGCAACTACAGCTTCACTACACCACACTACATCCAGCAGTTGTGGTGAGCTGACCACTGCAACCATTGCAACCACTCCAAAAAAACACAACCCACCTTTCGGTCCATCAGTGGATTCGCTCTGCCATCCGTGATTCACAACAACCAACCTCTCATAGGGTTTTTTCTTTTTTTGAAACTTCCGCCACCGCCTTGTGCGGTACTACTGGTATGTTGTATGATGAATGCTGCATGCTGATCATACCCAGAAGTTATCAACGATTTCAAGATCAACGGAGCCCTTTTGTTGGAATCTGTTTGTTTTGCACATTCTTTTCTCCATAAACTAACTTTATCAATTCAGTCTGGTTTCTCTTCCATCTCCAGGTGATCAATGGCAAAGGGACTTGGTATGTAAAGGTTGCATGCACTCTGCATGCCAGGCAACGAAACGTGACAAACCAAGTGGGTAGTCGTGATTTGCTTGCCTCTCTGCTGTGTCTCTGCTCCGTTCTCGTTGCCAAGATGAGATGTACAATGCGCCGCAGCCGCAGAGCAGTGAAATCTTTGAGGACGGGAAGAAGATGGGAGAAGTGATTTTGAGATCAGAGAATGACAATAGGGCAAAAAGGAACAATTCCATCAAGAATTGCATCAAGAATCAAGACCTGTAAAAACATGTATGAATGCTTCTGACTGATATGCTTTCACCATGCAGGATTTTTTGTGTTCAAAGTTTGCTGCCGTGGATCCATGTGGATCCTCGCCCTGCCAGGCCTTCCTTCACAACGTCGTGTCTGAGCTCTCCAGAGTTCCTGTGGTCCTTGGAGTACATGCCCGAAAGGACTCGATGTCCAGCTTTCGAGATGTCTCTTGGCGCGAAAATGTTGCATCTCTTTGAGCATGATGTAGGAAGAGCCTCTCAAAGGGTAGATATGAAATGATATGAACATGTTAGTTGTTAGAGGGAGAGCTATGATAAACCCGTGGCTTTCAAGAAAGCGGTTTACCCAGCTGGGATCTTACCAGGACGGAGTTGAAAATAGCTGAAAATAGAAGGGTTTCTGAAATCTGGAACTGCCTTCGTGGAACTGAAAGACCATTGTTACTGAATCTTACTATAAAGTTAACATATAGTTAAGATCATGCGAACTTGGGATGCTAAGTCGAGTTCTACATTTCACTGGTATCAAACATTATCAAACTGATTCCAGCTGTGCGTTTTCAGCGATGTTCTGTGACATTAGGTCAGGGCGATCATCAAACAGTGCCAGGCAGTGGTGCGCGGTGAGGGATTGACGGGCTTCCCCTGTGCTCTGGAGCGACCTGAAAAAAGGAATTCTTCAGTCGGTTCATTTGGATTTCTTCAATAGACTTTTCTGGTGTCACACTATCACCAAATATCACGGCATCACACGATATCTCAGGATTGTGCCTTGGTGTTGAGCCAGGAAGCGTTGGCGGAGCGGAATGAGGAGAAAAACATAGCGGAACTCCTTGTTGTTTCAGACGAAAAGGCGGATTCCGATCGCGGGAGGAAGAAGAAAATCAGTGGCCGCTCTGATGAAATTGTGCAAAAAAGGTTCAGATGTTGGCACCACTTGAGATGTGCATGATGTTGGATAAAACATGATCAAACACTTTGATAGTTGACGTGTTTTTGGAAATAGCTATTTGCTATCTGCGTGCCTGCAGAGGGAAGCAATGAGCCTCTTGAGCCCATTCTCAAGGTCATCACTACTTCAACTTCTCGCTGTTGGACGAAACCAGCGAGGACACTTCAAATTGCACTATGGTGTTCTTTTTACGCAGGCGTGCCGTTTGTGAATCATAGCTAAGTCGCAACAGCCTTATGGAGATTGCTGATTTTTCCCGGTTGCAAGGCAAGCTTGCAACAGAGCTCACTTCCTCCAACAATGTTCCCATACAAATCTCTTCTTTCAGCAGAATGTTGAGAGGAAACTTCTTTTGACGGCCAAGCAGATGAGATTTAGATGAGACTGGAGGGCCTGAGAAGACATCCTAGATCAGCCTAGACTGAAATTGAGGTGGAAAATTCAGATGATCCCAGGAGTTCCTTTGGTCCAAACTGCGGGACTACTTATCTACAGCTCCTCTTCGCCTAGAGCTTCAACCTCTTCAGATGGATCACCCAAAGCAGCTCTTTCGAAGCAAAGGTGCCGATAAAAAGCACCCCATGGCCCGGAAAATCCAGGGAAGCAAAAAAAACTGGATAAAGAAAAGATGTGTAACTTGTTGGGTGATTTGGGGACATGTTGTTGCTTCAGAGTCGAAAAGAAAACAGGAAGAACGCAGAGCAGATGGTTGTTCCCTCTTTGGTTTAACATATCTGTCAACATGAGCATGTCGGTTTCCGGTGAGCATATGTTTCTCGACGGTGTCCAAGCAGGGCCTTGAAGCTCAAGCTGTGCAGGTCGTTTGACATGCCCGGAGTGCCACGGACCGCGCTACTTGGAGGATTCCCTTGAACAGTTGGAGTCTTTGGCTGCAAGACAATTACTGTACACCCGGTAGATCCCGGTAGTCACAAGGGACCCAAGTCTTGAATCAACATGTGAAGAGCGCCTGGCTCATTGAACCACAGTTCAGATCTGACACATTTGGAGGGCAAAATGAGTGCATTTCTTTGCCTTCCAATCCACCCAATGATCAGGATGCTGCTGAAACAGCGGGGAAGGTCAAGCGAGGCTGGATAGCATCTGAGATGAGTCGTGACATTTTGGCATCGCTTGGCTTGAATTCCGAATTGATTGGCCAGGCCGCGTGAGCTATTGAAAGCCGGAAAACAAAATGCTTCCAATCCGTGATTGTTTCTGTTGCAGTCATAGATGAGGTATATAGATGCTTGTAAATGTATATAAGATATGCCAGTGGTACCTTGCTTGACTTTGTTCTAAATGTTCACGGTCTCGGTTCAAAAGGTCACGTTGAGCGAATCACAGATCATATTGCATGTGATTGTGCATGTTTACATATGTACTTGCTGTACCGAAGGGAACATATAATTACTCTCTTCCAGTCATCTTCACCTTCCAGAACGAAGACAGCTAGTGTGCAAGTGTGAGGATGAGATTGCCCCAACCACATCCGCCACGTTCCAAATTAACAAGCTATTGGGAGAAGGCGGGACGTAAATTCTAACAACAAGGAGTGCAAAGAACCCGGACAGCGACATCGAATGTTCAAAGCAGGGGGAAGCTCTGCTAGTACTGATGTGGTATGGCCCAACTGCATGGCACAACCAGGCAAGGCCAGCTCGTTCCACATGTTGGGGATGGCAAGATAACTGCATGGTGTTTATTTGGACTGTTTATTTGAACTGTTCCGATCTTCCATTGTTTTGCTGCATTTCATTTACCTGTGAGAGTTTCGAGAGTTTCGGATGGAGTCACCATGAACAATGAACTGCACCAGGCCATCTCCAGGCTATGGTGGATACAGTGGGTATGGCGGCTACGGGTGGTTGGGTGGCCAAACACGAACAGAAAAAACAAAGTGCTACATGCGTTCAATGTTCAGTGTTGCTGCTGTAGGTTGGAGAGACACAGCAGGCAGAAACAGGAGGCTTCAACAAGTGCTGCACGAAGCCAGGAGCTGCAAGGGTTTAACCAGTTCCAGCATTGGTTTACAACAAAAACATGAAAAGGAAACAAAATTGCGTCGGGGAATACACGCATATTTAAAAAATTGCATCAAGAGAGGAAAAGCCAAAATGGCAAAAAGAGGGAAGGGATGAAAAGTGGAACATCAAGGGTTCCCGTTTCACTCTGGGGGTTTGGGGGTTGAGGCTGTGTTCGCTAGACGTTGCGCAGCCGTTCGCCACCGTTCGCAACCGTCCGCAACCGTTCGCCACCGTTCGCAACCGTCCGGGCCGTGCCTATGGTGAGTTCTGCAAAAGCTATCACTTTTGGAGGTTCCAAACGTCGCGGAGCTTTGTTTTGCGTGGCAGGCGTGGCACTTTGTGACATTTCTACATCTTTCATAATGTGTCGAAAGCCGCTTTTTGTGGCAGGCGCAATGCTTTTGCATCATTTTCAGAAGATGAATTGCATTTTATTCATGCCAGGCGCAACACACTTTGGAGACCACCATCGTCATTTTGCGTGGCAGGCGCAGCACTTCAGACGTGTCGAGTTGCGTGCTTTTGCGAATCGCATTGTCAGGGCTGCGTCAAGTGGTGACAGCGTGCAAATTCTGTGGCAGGCGTGGCATTTTGTGAGATGTGATGAAGATTGACGGAAGCCTCGCACGAAACATCGATTTTGAGATCGTAGATTTTGGAGTTCACGAGAAAACTCGTAGGAAAGCTTTGATTCTGTAGCTACAAAGTGTGAAAAAATTGAGGAAGTCTCGCACGAAACGCTCGTTTTGAGGTTCCAACATGCCTCGGTTCGATTCTCTGGTTTTCTTGTCCCGTCGCCGTGTCTACAGGGGAAGCTGCAAAACCTCTCATTTTCAAAGGTGTCCAAACAGGTTCAATGTCGTTTTGCGTGGCAGGCGTGGCACGTCGTGACATTCTCATGTGTCAACAAAATGATGTCGAAAGTCGTTTTGTGTGACAGACGCAATGTTTTTGCGTCGTTTTCAGAAAATGAGTGTTGCATATGTCGTGGCAGGCGAAGCACTTTGAACGTGTCCGTCTTCATGTTGCTTGGCAGGCGCAGCACTTTAGACGAGTCGTGTTGCGGGTTTTTTGGTGAATCGCACTGTCAGGGCTGTCTGAAGTGGTGACAACGTTGACATTGCGTGCGTGGCAGGCGCGGGACATCGTGAGGGTGTCATTTTACGTGGCAGGGGCAGTATTTGGTGCAGGCCCATTCTGTGCGTGGAATGTCATTTTGCGTGGCAGGCGCAGTATTTCGGACACTCTACACTTTACACTCCGCACTCTACTCTCTACACCTGACACTCCACACTCCTCACACTTTACACTTATATACCACTTAACATTCCAAACTCTACACTTTACACTCCACACTGTACACTCTACACTTTACACCTTACATTTTACACTCCACACTTTACACTTTACATTTTACACTTTACACTCCACACTCTACACTCGCACTTTACACTCTACACTTCACGCTCCACACTTTACACTTAACACTCAACACTTTAAACACTCTACACTTTACACTCCCCACTGTCCACTCTACACTTTACACTTTATATTTTGCACTCCACACTTTACACTTTACACTTGACACCTGACACTCCTCACTTTACACTTTACACTCCACACTCTACACTTTAGTCAGTCTGTACACTCCACACTCTACACTCTACGCTCTCCACTAGACACTCCACACTCTACCTCCACACTTTACACTCTACACTTTAAACTCCACACTCCACACTTTACACTTTACACTCCACACTTTACACGTAACACTCCGCACTCTACCCTCTACACTTTACACTCCACACTTTACACTTTGCACTCCAGACTCTAGACTTTACACTCTGCACTTGACACTTTACACATCGCACTCCACACTCTACACTCCACACTTTCCACTTTACACTCCACACTCTACACTCTACACTTTACACTCTATACTCCACACTCCACACTCTACACTTTACACTCCACACTCTACACCTTACACTCTACACTACACTTCACACTTTACACTTTAAACTCTACACTTTACATTCCACACTTTACACTTCGCACTTTAAACTCTACACTTTACATTCCACACTTTACACTTCGCACTTTAAACTCTACACTTTACACTTTCCACTTTACATTTTGCACTCCACACTCTATACTTGCACTTTCCACCCCACACTTTACACTTTGCACTCCACATTCTACAGTGCATTGGTACGGTAAATGGGGAAAGATGCAAAGTTCAAATAATTTGTTTCACAAAAAGTGTTTTTGCGTGGCTGCATTCGGGTTCGTGGGCTGCATCTTGTTTTTGTGTGCATCTTTCCGTCCCTTGTTTGCTCCGGCATTTATTTTGTGCTTGTTTTTTTTGGTTTGTTGTGTTTTCAAACTACTGCATGGGTTTTTACAAGATCGCTTGAACTATATGTAGTGTTCTGTGTTTGTATGGGGACGAGTTGACTGTGTATGCTTTGGATATCTTTCAAGACAGGGTGCCGCTGCAGGGTTCGGCTACTACGGGTAGCAGAAAGGATCTTCGTTACATGTTGATATCAGGAGTCTATGCCAATTGGGTTACTTGCCGAAAGACTCAACTGATGGACATAATGCACAGGGCACTGAAGAACTTCGAATTGTATGATTGTGCGAACTCAAAGACAAGTTGGATCATGCTAGATCAACCAAAACGGGCAGATGGACATAGAATAAGGATGAAACATATTGATTATTTCAACCAGTGTCCTCTATCAGTGTGACACCGTCCGTAGACGTTGTCCTCAATGTTCTGAAAATTTCCTTATGTAAGAAGTAATGTTGCAGTTCATGTTCTAAAGCAGGGCTTATGTAGTAAATGACGTTGCAACTGACGTTTCGGCCAAGATAAACACATGACTTTGAAGGGCCAGTAGCCCAAAGTAAGACCAATGTAACAATGTATATAACTATACTATGTAGCTTCCGATGTTGTTCATTGCGGCAAAAGGCAAACTGGGTGGATGATGGTATCTAACCCTCTCATTTGATTTCTCCAAAATTCCAGGTGACCAAGGGGAAATGCCTATATTCATATTCATCATTCCCAAAGAATTTTCACGTGGGGATCAAAACCATTCCCCCTGTGGCACCGCCTGCGTCAGAATGCCAAGTGGTTTTGACGTTTTAATTTGACTGGTTTGGTTTGACTGGTGTCCAAAACACCAAAGAATCATAAGAGTGACAAGTTATCAAAAGAAAGTCGAAAGATGTCAAAAGATATCAACACCATAAAAAAATAACAAAATATGATCCAAAATCAGCCAGTATAAGTGGCCCCCGTCGAACGGTTTGGAACGGTTCAAGTGTCATTTTTTCGTGTGCCCTCGGACGGTTTGGAACGGTTCAAGTGTCATTTTTGCCTGTGCCCTCGAACGGTTTGGAACGGTTCAAGAGGCATCGAACTATTTCGAACTATTTCGAACTATTTCGCTTTTGGGTTGTTTTTACCTTCGAACGGTTTGGAACGGTTCAAGTGCACGGTAAAAGCCAGCAGAAAAAACACATGTTTTTATTTTTTTAAGTCTGTTTTGACAGTTTTAAGTTAAAGTTATAGGTTCAAATTGTAAGTTGTAAGTTAAGGTTATAGTCAAGTAATAATAATAAGTTAAAGTCAAATGTTCTTAGCTTGGCTTTATACTTTGCAGAAATGTAGCAATAAGTCAGTAATGAATGAAGTAGCACAAAGTAAGTTGCTCCCTGGGCTGTCCTAGTCTGAAAGATATTAGGAAAATGAAGTAACAATACATTACGGAAACTCTGTGGATCTTTCTCATTTCTGATTTGGAAATCATGGGCCCATGCAGCGAAAGGATACCGAAAGGATTAGCAATGAGCAATGTCCCCAACAGTCCGTCAGTCTGGCCAAGCCTGGCCTTCAATCTGGCGACTTCCACATCCAACTTCACCAATTCTCGTTTGTTCAACATATCCCATCGTGGCTTCTCAAGTGTCTGGGTGAAAGGCCTTGGCCCGGCACTGAGCAAACCAAGTTTTTTTTGATAGCGTGCAACTTCTCATTCGCCTTTCCTGATCGCTGAGGTCCGTCCTGCAAAGCAGGGCTATTCCTGACTCACACTACTCCACCTTTTGAAAACGAAAACGTTGCCAGCAACATAGTTCGAACATAGTTCGAAATAGTTCGAAATAGTTCGAAACGTCCATTTTAGGCTTGCATCCTCTATAAGTTCATGTCTTGAACTATGTCTTGAACTACGTCTGAAACTATGTTGAACTGTGATATGCCATGTTCAGAAACTCAAAATGCTTCTGCTCTTGCTCGTCCTGGGAAGGCTCTGAGACTGCCAGGTTGACCATGCTTTTCTCACAGAATCTCCAAGCTTGCAACTTGCAACTCCATGGGGGCCCCAAGTTGAAAGAGAAGAGAACGGGAAAACCAAGTTCCATTTCATGTTTTGGCTAAAAACACGCAGTATTGAAAACCCGGGTTTGGTAAAGCCACTTCGCCGGCAAGCAAGCATTAAATTTGAAAACGTGACAGGATCTGAGAAGTTGGGAAAGGGATGCTCAAGTTGAAAAATCCTTGGAATAGAAATCGAACCAACCACAGCAGAAACACTGAACCAGAAAACTGTTGGCAGAAAGCTTTCTTTCAACCCAGCGATCCACCCTGCCAAGTTTAAATTTAAACTTCATAAGTATTCAGCATAAAATAAAATAAGATGGTGTGTTTTGGTTTGGCCTGAATATTGTGCATGCTGCAATTGTCTATAAACTGCTCGCTGTTTGCCTACAAACAGGCCACGCCACAACGTCATGGGCTCGTCCTCCCAAAAGTATATGAATTCTGCGACGCTTTCTGTATCCCGCACCCAAAACGCCATCTATCAACGCAGTGCTTGGCTCACCTCTCGGCTCAAAACCACACAACCTGACTCATGACTCATGACTATGCCAATCAAAGGCAGTAGAACTTAGAGCCATATGATCCTGGTGAAAATTACTATTGTATACACAATTTTAAATGACCAAATGACCAAATGACCAAATGTTATATATCGTCAAGTAAAAATGTTCCCTTGAATGGGAGTTTCAAAATCAATGGGCAGGGTCACGAAAAAGGGTTTGGAACCCCCATTAATTTTGACACCCCGATTCGATGGATTTTTTGCAACGTCATTTGCAACGTCATTTACTCCATACGCCCTGCTTTAGAACATGAACTGCAACATTACTTCTTACATAAGGAAATTTTCAGAACATTGAGGACAACGTCTACTGCCGGTGTCAACAATTTCCGTTGGTGGATTGAATGAGGTCTTAGAAATTGACCGGATCAGACCAAAACAAAGAACACCAAGCAAAACACATATAAATATATGTTCAAGCGCATTTGTGTTTTCAAATGTGTACACCATCAGCCACGCTGTAAAAATAATGTGTATATAATATATAATGTAAAAAACATATTGCATACTTTTTTTATAATATGACATAATTGACATAACATTATATAATATGTAATATCAACCAGTGACCAGTGTCCCCTATATCCAGGCCTCAAAATGTACCCAGGGTCAAGACAAAACATCAACTAAAACGTCAAAATTTACATAAAACATCATCATGAGGTACAATTCCCCAAATTAAAACGTCAAAACGAACATAGTTCGAACATAGTTCGAACATAGTTCGAAACCAACCTTGTACGGACACGTCCCTGGGAACACAGAAACTTGGATATAGAGGACACTGGTTGAAATAACATATTGAAACATTAAGCAGCCATCGCTGATGGGTGCAGGAGTCATTGCCAAGAAGGCAGTCTGCAAGTTGGATTTTTTGAAGTCGGCTGGTCATATCAATCATATCAGATGAAATCTGTGTGGCAAATCTCCTGTGGCAGAGGCCGGTTGGCACTCCTAGACAGGCAAGGGTTCAAGCAGGGCTCAAGGAGTCTCGTTGTATTCCATGCGTTCCATGCTCATGGGCTGCACATTGACAGGTTGATCAGGTTGTATTGCCTGCCGTATGCATCCTGCAAGGTGGTTGTGATCAGCTTGCAATCTCGAAGTCCATCACCTGTCAGCCATAGGTGCCCTGGGGAGTGGTTCTGTTGGACATGTTTGGACATGGGACACGGGTGTTGACACTTCACTGCGTTTCCCATGTTTTTCCCCTTTTCCCAAAAGTTTTTGCAGTGCAACAGTGGCAAACAAGTGGCAAACGAGTGGCAAACAACTGGCAAACAAGTGGCAAACAAGAAGTCGAAATGTCTTGAATCAGTCTTGAATCAGTCGCATGGCAGAACTTCGGGACTGAAGCATACTGAAGAGCCACTGTCAGGGTTTCCAGATTTTCAACGACAATGACAACTCCAGTGCAGGTGCCAGCATTTTGTGTGCCTTTCCCACCCATTGAAAGAATTCTCTTGCATAAGTGGGCCTAGACATCAGGAAATGTAGGTGTCAAAGTATTTGAGTTTGATATGTTCGAATATGTTCGATGTGATTGAATCATATTGAATCTTCAAGGGAGTTTTCCTATGCATTTTCCAGGTGGGCAGAGAGGCGCGCACAGCACCTAGTACTCCTGCGCAGACCTACCGCGGTGTTTCTTCAGGCCTGGCTAAAAGAAGTGCAAGGAATCAAGGAATCAAGGAATGTAGAAGGACGTATCGCATGATGATGAAGATATTGGAGTATATTGGAGTGCTGATGTTTACAACTTGGAGAATTCACACGAAAGGGCGAAGGGACGAAGGGATCAAGGGCCACAATTCTACTTCTTGTCAAGGCATTGTGGCCGCACCGTCAGCTCCCTAGTTTTTTTCACTGCATTGATCCCCCCTTCGACTCTTCGACTGAAACGTTTCCGGCCTAAAGGACAGCACAGCACAGGATACTGATTAAATCTGATTAAATCTGATTATTTAATGTCATTGTCATTATTGTCATTGTGTCATTGTGTCATTGCTTGGATCGTGTCCAGGAAGAGTCAGTGCTTGGGAACGCCGCGCAGTGGCTTGGCAGAGCATTGAGCAATTGAGCAGTGAGCTGTGCGCTTTTGACACCGTGCCGAGATTCAGGTAGTGCCACCCTGAACAGAACTTCAAGGATTTGGGGGTTGGGAAATGCTGGGAAGAGGGAAAGATACTCTTCTTCTTACATTTCTTACCGCCCTTTGGATCCTTTGGTTCTGTCGTGGTTTTATGCCTAACCTGCATGCTGCCCTAGCCAGACCAATCAACCAGAGTTCCGCATGAAAAGGTTGGCATTCTCTCCTGGCGGCAAACGCCATGAGGAAAAAGAGAAACTCCATCCAAACACTTTTGTATTGTCAAGTGAATTAATTAAGTTCGAAGAAATGCGAACCCAATTTGCGACCCCGAAACTGAAGAATTCTACCTATAAAAATGTATCACATCTTAGTAACATCTTATGATATCTTATAAACAACATTAAACAACTATAATACTTAATGTATCTTATATAGCATTCCAAGAGACGGCACAGGAAACCCGTCGTGCTTCCGGCCTGGCCTTCACTGGCCGCATGGACTACGTATCAACCTGGTCAGCTAAGCAGCCGGACTGCGACGGATGCTGATGTTGTGAACCGTTGATGATTTCGGATACAGGTTTAACATGGCTTAACATGGCTTAACATGGTTTAACATGGTTTAACATGGTTTAACATGGTTTAACATGGTTTAAGGGTTTGGTCTCGGTTGAATTTGTTTGACCATGGGCCAAGGTACGAGTGCTGGCACTCCCGAGCAGAGAACAGTTGGAACAGTTTCCACGCTGGTGAAGCGACAAGTGTCAACAGCATCTGCTGTTGAGAGGCAAATATCAACAGCTTCAGCACCTGTGACAGAGCAGTTCTCCAAAGCTGGGACTTTGCTGAGACAGATCCTCAATGATCTGATCTTAACAGGTTGCAGTTTCAACCTTTTGCTTATCTTTGGTTCTGGTTTGTTCTGGTTTTGAATGAGTGCAATGAGGTCACGGCCGAAGCCTTTCGTCTTCGGGTCGATTCAGTTCGACCTTGGCTTGGTCGTCCTTAGACTGCAATGAAGCTAGCATTAATCTTTCACGTAATGATCGTAACGGGTAATGGGTGTCACTCTTGGCTCGCTCTCTCTGTTTTGCGACACATTCAGGCCATTAAAGGCTTTCCGGAGTTGGGGAAGTTCGTAGCTTGATAGTGCTGCACGTGTGAGGCCGCGAACTGTGGCATCAAGCTGCCTGGCAGAACTGGGACAGCATCCGCAATCCGCAATCAAGTGGATTCAGAACACGTTCCCATCCAAAGGAGCTGTTGGCGTTTTTTTTCTGCGTCTGCAGAGGTTTTCATTTGTCTCCACGCGTGCAGAAGTTTGTTCTGAAGCCATGCAGTTCCTTTCCAAGTGAGGAACCCAGGGACCCAGGGACGTGAGGGACATGAGGGACCCAATTCTTCCGCTGCCATGCTGCTGCCAAAATCTTTGCAGGTGCTACAACTCCACGTGTGCCGCCGGTTGTACATATTGACCTCACAAGTGCATGGTGCTTAGAGGATCTCAGGGGTACCCAGTGTATGTGAATATATTTTCCTGGAGCTGCTCTTTTTCCTGTGTAAACAGTTTCAGACCCTTGAATTTTGCTTCAAAGATTTGTTGCTGTCTTGTGCTTTGTTTTGCCTTGTACTGCTCCGTGTCTTGCCACACATTCAAACTTCTCTGCCACAGCTGCATCTTTAGGCACAGACACCAGCTGCTTCTCAAGTCAAGGCAAGGGAAGTCAGCTGCTCCACATCCAGATGTGATCGATTGGGATCGTGCAGGCCACCCCTCGTTCTGGAAGGCCACCCTGATCCGCCTTCCAAAGTGAAAACATGTGACAACGATTCCAATACAGATATGCAAAGATTTGACACAGTTCAACCATTAAATTGCTCAGTTAACACAGCAATTGAATGCAATTGAGTCAATCCCTCAGATCTCTTAGCCGCCTTAGCCGCCTCAGCCATCCTTAGCCGCCTTAGCTGCCTTAGCCGCCTTAGCCGTTCAGCTGTGCTGTGCCAGGGAGCTGCGAGCTCGAGCCATCTCTCCACGAGAGGCGCCAGTTCTCGTCTCGATGAATCGATGAATCGTAGCTATGCGTAGCTGAGGCCAAGATAGAAGCAGTGCCCCGCTCAAAGGCTGGGTCAAACAATGTCAAACATCAAAGATGTTGAAACATTATGAAACATTCCTGTGATATCCTGTGATGGTGTTGCAGTTACAAACAGTGTCCTTTGATGTCCTTAGATGTCTTGGATTAGATTGGATCCGTGGTGAAAGGTTTGCTATGCTTTGGTACCTGTTTGACTGAGCTCTTTCCGGGCAGTCTCGCAGAGATTGGACCATGCATTTGAAAACTCTTCAACTAGGCAATCGGGTCAGAAGATAGTGATGAGGATAGTGATGAAGTGAAGGACTGTTTTGTGGGTGTACAGGATGAATTGATATGAATTGCATGATTTCATCGAGCTTTGAAGACCTTGATATGCTTTGTAGTATCTTTAAGATGTATGCTTTAGTGATCTTTAGTGATCTGGCTTTGTGAAATTTTGTGAACAGTCTTGTGGCCTGGCCGTATCGATCTGTATCGCTTTTTAGCCGACCTCACCCTGGCGTTCTTTTTGTGTTTGCGCTGTGCAGTACGATCCTCCTTTTTTTGCAGCGGCGTTGCTGCAGTGTATTCACTACTGTACGTTGTGTCAATTGAAATGATGTTTGCTGAATGACCCCGTTGAGTCCTGGGAACCACAGCTTTTAGTCCATGTTTGAACATACTTCCTACAAACTTCCTACTTTGCAAAAAGAAACAACATCTTTTTCTGGCCCCGCCATACCAAAGGCATCCAAAGGCCATGTCGGAATTCTGACGCCATGAGGAGCTGAGCTCTGATAGTTGGGCCATGGCCCGGCATCGGGAGGACTCTGTGAATTCCATTGAATTCCAACAGTTCCCAGTTTGAGACCGGGGGGGCTCCTGCAAATGTCCTTTATTAATTGTAATGAAATGTAATGAAACCAATTCAGATTCCATAGATTTACAGTACTAGATCTTCAACGATCCTGACATCTTCATAAGATATTGGTATGAAAACCCGGTGAAAAACTGACTTGAAACACTGATGCATGTTTCTCATCCCACCATCGCACCATAGGACGGACGCATGCCAAGCGCAGAGCGGCAGCTTTGCCGCTTGCCTGGAACTGTCCAAGCCCAAGATCCGACGCCGACACAGTGCCATCCATGTGCCATCACGTGCCATGTATTGCCATGTGGTTACGTCGGTTACGTGGTTTGAGGTAGTTCTGTGAGGCGATGCCTGTACTGCCATAATCTGCCATAGTTTTGCTGCGCAGATTCTGAAAAGATTTGGTTCGACAATTAAACTGCTTGGCACAACTATAGCATGCTGTAGCTTGGAGTTTTCAAGTGCAAGCGACAGTGGAGCCCTTTTGCCCATCTTTCAAAACTCCAAGCAGGCAATCTTTTAGATTGGCAATGATGACAACGCAAGTCTCACCCGATGAATTCTGCAGTGTTCAAAATGAAGCTCTGGTCATCTCTGGTCGTCTCTGGTGGCTTTTTGAACCTGACAGTGCTGTGATTCCACCATATTCCACCGGCATCTATGTTAATCTTCGCTGTGCCCAGAGCGAGTGAACTTTGGTTCAAATTCACCCACTTTTTCAAATCGGTGTTATTTTCCCTTTGCCATGGCAGCCATGGCAAAGGCTTTTGCGAAGGCCGGGAAGGGCCACCAAACTTGTGACTTCGCTTGAGCATTGCAGCCGCAAGCCTGATTCAGACGGATCTTGGCATTTTTTCTAGCCAAGTTGCAGGATTCCATAAGCGGCACATCCACTACTCCTCCTAGCAGGAGCCTGGATAAGTGACAAGCTCGAACAAGCTCGAACAAGCTTGCCAGGTGGTGACGTATGGTGAAAACGGAAGAGGCTAAAACCGCTGATCCTCCCTGCAGAAGGTTATCATATATGTGCAGGTAGAACAAAGCGCGATTCCACAACTACGTTCTCACGATTCCAGAACCAAAACCACGCGATTCCAAAACCAAACCACGCGATTCCCCAACCAAAGCCGGCGCGCTTCCACAACTACATTCTCACGATTCCACAACCACACTCCCACGATTCCACAACCAAAATCTCGCGATTCTACAACTAACAACTATTGATTCCACCAGGAAGACTGCCGCTACTTACTTTCATTGTAGAAAATTCTTGACAAGCTACAAGAAACTTAAATCCCCCACCCCCGCAAAACAATAGATCAAATTTAAGTATTCAGCCAGCAGCCCCGCTTCTTAGGGAAGACTACCGCTACTTACTTTCATTGTAGAAGATGCTTGACAAGTTACAAGAAACTTACAAAATCCCCCACCCCCGCAAACCAATAGATCAAATTTAAGTATTCAGCCAGCAGCCCCGCTTCTTAGAAGATGCGACCGGAACTTGGGTTAGAGCAGTTCATGTCTTGGTTTGGTTCAAATCCCTTTTGGTTTTGGAATAACCTGTTTTGGTTATGGAATAATTGTTGGTTGAGGAATCATACGGTTTGGTTAAAGAATATTTCGTCTTAGTTGTGGAATAATCGTTGGTTGAAGAATAACACTTCATGGTTGAAGAATAATACGTTTTGGTTATGGAATAATCCTTGGTTGAGAAATAATACGTTTTGGTTACAGAATAATATGTTTTGGTTATGGAATAATCTGTTGACCTGTGCAGGTATACTACAACACAAACCATCAGACACATTCAGAAACAACATATTATATACTTTAAAAAATCTTTAAAATTATTGTCATTGAATGAGTCGTTGTATCATCTTATTGTACATTTATGTGATATGTTGTGGTATATGTTCTTACATGTTGTTATATCTTTAAAATGTACACCTTTGAACACGTCGTAACTAGCCCAGCGGAAGTGAACTTCACTGGTTTCCGCGTTCAGGAGTGGTCCAGGCTCCTTGCCGTCCACGGAATATGAGGACGGAGAAATGTCAAAATTGTTAAACGACCCGTTTGATGCTCGGTTGATGCCTATCATTGATGTCATGATCGTTATGTGCTGTCCAGATCATAGAATAGATTGGATGAATCTGCAATCACAAAGATCATGAAAGATCATTAAATTGAAAATAAAAACATGATAGATCATGATCCCCTATGAGTTCGATGCTGAAGATGCGTTTGGATGCGGAGGATGCCTCGGGTTTTCCAACACTTCCCCCGAGGGCACCGAATGACAGGCTGGTTCTGGTGCGATGTGTGACGAGAGCTGATTGCATTGCCGGTTCCGCTGCCCAATGACAGGATGCAGCCAATGACTGGCCATTTTAGACGTCGCAAGTGCGCTGCGGACACCGAAGCTGAGGGAACTTTGAGCCGATGTCAAAATTGGGTCAAAATGCTCAGAGCTGCTGTGAGCTCTGCTGTGAGCTCTTGGGAGGTACTACATTCCAGAAGAGCATGTGGACTCGTTCAAGGCAGTGTTTCAAGACTTGAGTACTCAAGTCTTTACTTATTTTGACTGTTGTTTAACACTTGGAACGTGATTTTTGAATATCTAAAATCTGTAGATTAGCCTGAGACACTCACATAAAAACGCTTAGTAACAGGTTCACAATGTCCTCACAATAGAATATTTGCATGATGCACTCAATCTCATGCTGAATTTGGTTTGGTACAAGTCAAACACAACAGCTACGCTTGCATGCTCTTGAAACCGACAATACTGGCAAAAAAAGGACCCAAGATCAAGCCAAATCACGAGTAAAATGACGTCAATCAACACTAGTCACTAGAACCCAACATGACAAATTACCGCAGATTACTGCAGTCCATCCGTTTTCTACTCAAGAATTGTTCACAATTAATCCCTGATCACCAGTGATCACATGGAAATTCAAAGACCATGTGCTGTTTCGCAGTGCACTACGTTCCGCTGAGCACTGTGCCTAAGATTGGTGCTGTACCAATGAACTACAATGTATTTGCTTCTTCTCTTGCAGTTCAATCATTTCAATTGACCTCATTTCCTGGAAGGCGACAGTTGCCTCCCCAACCAGGAGTGGTGAACCTTTGACACTTGCCACGCGTAGCTGAAAATGTCAATATTTCCTCAAGACTTTGCACCACATTTATACTTTTTGGATGTTTCAGACTGTGCGCTTTTGGAAGAATCTGACACTCCAGGGACGTGACTAGATGCAACAAGCTCAGTGGTTGCGCATGTCAGAGATGGAAGTGAAAACTCAACATGTCTCAACTCACAGAGCTTTCACATGAGCGACTCAGGTGAGCAGCTTCGTGCGCGTGAACAGATCATGCAGGCCATACTGAATGATTCTCAGTGTATATAAAATTACTTACAGAATCTTACAGAGATGTAAGATGATATAAGTTGATATAAGAGAGATATATATGATATACGGTATAATTGGACAGACTATACACTAGCACTTTATTCCAGAGACCGTGGTAGAATATTTTTGGACCAGTGTTGTTTGGTGTCGAAACTTGCATAGATCATATTCCTGAAGCGTTCTTGGGGTGCTTGGCCAAAAGGTCTTTAAGGTATTGTTTATTTTTGCACAAGTCGCGGCATGGTTTCCACATTCTTTGTTTCCACAGGTAAAAATTGAGGGCTTGATGCAAAAGCGTTCGTTTGGTCTCCTATGGACCTCCTACTGGCACAGGCCTCAAAAATCCCAGGGTTCGCCGATATTGTGAAAGCATGTGAAAAGTTATGGTTGTGAAAGGCACTGCCAAGATTTCTGTACGTTAATGTAGATTAATTGCAGAGATTTGGTATGTCTGTGGATCGAGGTAATCGTCAGATAGCTAGCTGTTCATCCTTTGAATTGTAAATCGTGGTTGGACATTCGATGGAAATGATCCTTCGTTCCAGGAATCGTAATGCTTTTTAGGCAGCCAGCTGAACTTTAGAATCGACACTCCAATTTGACTGGCATGATTTTGGGCTGGCGACTAAGGGTAGTTTTGGACCAGTCTGCAGTTCGATTGTACGAGAGTGAGCAGGCACCGGTCGAATCAGTGGTGGAACATGTTCAAGGCAAACTACAGATCAGACTTTCAATCTCTTTTGATGACAATGATAGTATATGATAGTGAATGTGGAAACGGAAGTTTCGTGTCTGAAGCAATTTGCAATTGATATTGACTCAATATAAGTCAAGATTCAGAATCCAAGCAAAAGTAGCCTTTGGTCATTCGACTATAAATCACGTGCTCTTTGGAGCAGTTCAACCTCCATCAAAACATGTTGAATGATACATGATCAACTATCAATGATGATACATGTATTTTCTTTAGAGATGTGTATGGAGATATTATGCATACAACATACGTGTGTAGACACATTTATTGCGAAAGCCAGCCAAAGGCTGAGCGAAGTGTGGGGGGTAGTGGCTGATGTGGAGGCCTCCAATCCCTCAGGTAGCTGGTGAGTAGGGTGTTTTTTTGTCCATTTTACCCTGTTATGTACCATGGGGCAAATGGGTGATGGTGGGTATCGATCCCCCCACTGGTCCGCTCGGTTGGGGGGCTATGGTCCACCGTGTGCCCGGGCCCGCGGAAGCCCGCGGGCCCGCGGGGCAAGCCCGCGGCGGGCCCGCAAAGGCCCGCGGGCCCGCGAAGGCCCGCGGGCCCGCGGGCCCGCGCTAGTCTTGGGCTATCGGGCCCGCGCTAGTCTTGGGCTATAGTGCACCGTGACCTTAAGCCCGTGCAACACTAGAGACCGGCAACAGCAATGCAAAGTAATGAAAACATTCGCACATTTTGAGACATTCTGAGCAAATTTGAAGAATTTTGAGCATTTTGGAGCCGTTTTTGTGGACCAGCTTGGGTCTTTTCGAGCAAATTTCAAACAAATTTGAGCATTTTTGTCGGGCAAGTTGGGGTCATGTCGAGCAATTCTGAGCAATTTTTGGAAGCACGATATGGCATTGTTGACCTTAGACAGTGTTCAAGATGTCTCAGTTGAGGCTGCTTTGAGACATCCTACTTTAGCTGAAAAAGGTAGCTGATGTAAACCCCACGGATCTAGACCCTAAAAGGTAAGGGCGCCTCTAAGAGGCCGTGTGTTTCAGCACATGGATATGTTTCTATTCAATTATGTTCCAAGGTTTTGCCACAACGAGAGCGGTTTTTCACAGATATCTATATTTTGTGGGTGTATCAAAAGTCATGGAAGGGTATGGAAAAATGAGAGTCACGGTGTGATTTTAATGGTTTTTGTGGGACGAAAGCCATCAGCTTGGAAAAGACAGCCTTACGCGTTTTCTTCTGCGTTGCCGACGTCTTTGTTTCAGCCGCTTTTGCGGCCAAGTATCATCAACGTATCATCAACGCATGATCAACGTAACATCAACGTATCCACAGCGCATGATCAACGTATCATCAACGCATGATCAACGTAACGTCAACGTATCAACAGCGCATGATCAACGTATCATCAACGCATGATCAACCTAACGTCAACGTATCATCCACGTACCATCAACCTAGCATCAACGTATCAACAGCGCATGATCAATGTATCATCAGCGTATCATCCACGTCGCATCACCTTGCACGCAAGAGATACATGAACGTTATTGCACCCCCCCACCCCACCCAACCGCAACAGTAGCATCAACGTCTCCTCAACGTAGCATCAAAGTATGATCAACGTAACATCAACGTAGCATCCACGTCGCATCAACTTGCACGCAAGAGACATGAATGATATTGCACCCCCCCACCCCACCCCACCCCACCCCACCCCACCCCAACAGTAGCATCAACATCTCCTCAACGTAGAATCAACGTATGATCAACGTAACATCAGCGCAGCATCCACGCCGCATCACCTTGCACACAAGAGACATGAACGTTATTGCAACTACCTGCCACCCCACCCCACCCCAAAAACCTCAAAAAAGCACGGCCTCTTAGAGGCGCCCATACCTAAAACGAGACCAGTGAGTATTATAAAATAGCCTCTGGAGAAGTATTATGAAATATTAGTTTTTTCAAATGGGTTCAATTGGACAAACCTTGCGGTGCCAGCATCCTGGGGTCATCAATTTGTGAGGATCCCACCCAAAAGTGCACTGAAAAAATGGCGTTGTAGGCGTAGGCTGGGATTTTGTGAATGCAAGGTCTGATTTGACCCATGGGATTTTGTAGAGCCCGAACTGACCTCTACTTTGCATGACGGCGCTCATGAATCGCTTTTCTGTGATTGTACAGAAACTTGGAGTTTTGGAGGGAGCAACAGGCAAGGGTTCAGTCCACACGGAGAGGTTAAGATGATTTAAGTTCACTCATTTTTTGAATCTTTGGAACTTCATACCGCGTGACCATGCCCTTTGATTGAATAAAACACCATAGCGGACAGGGACTGTGCTGCCTGTATCGTGCTTCCATGTGCTTCTTTCACTTTGTTAGTGTTGTCCCTTCACCTGCATGTTCCGGGTTGTGAGATTCTATGTCAGCCACTCCTCTCCTCCTTCTTGTCCTCCTCGCCGCGCCTGACCTCAACCGCAAAACCCGGATCAGAGTGGTGCCCGCCGGACCTGGATCACAAGCGCCTGGGTGAGATAGAATGCCACACTGAAAGTGAGAAGACACAATAGCCACGTATGCCAGAAAGAATTCCAAAAGAGATGCCATAGCATGGCAGCCTTGAATTGTCAGAAGTTATGCCAGATAGACACATATGCCAGATAGCACGCCAAAAGATATGCCAGAAAGAACGCGCGGGTCCGACTATGTCAGTTTATGCCAGAATATATTTGAAAATATTTGTTGGATTGCCAGAATAAATACCGGAAAAGATTTGCTAGACACAGATGCCAGACAGAATGCAAGAAGATATAGACGATAAAATGCTGACCTGAAAACCCTCGGGCCCGCGCAAGTCTTGGGCTATCAGGGGACCTATGTCCGGTTGGGGTTGGGTTGTGGAATATTGGGCTGTGCGAGCAAACATGTGGTGTGTGGCGTTCTATATCCGGCTTTGAAGGGGTTGTACAGTTCTATATGCCGGTCTTGGGAGAGGGTGAGCTTGGAGGTGGCGTGTACTTCATCGGACAGGAAGGTTGAATTGATTGCACTCGGCGATGCAGAACTCGGCGGTGCAGAAACTTTTTTGAATGGCTTTTCAGAGCATGATGGGAAGTGTCAACTGTCAATGCAGCATATGGTTTGCGAATGTTTGCGAGGGTTGATCGCAGGTGTCCTTTTTTGGAGAGCGGGGTTTACATGGGAGTGTGTTTTTGGGAGTTGGAGCATGGATCTGTGGGCAGATATGTGTGGGTTCGTTTCCAAAGCGTTTCAACCTTCGGAGCATAATGGGGCCATGGCGTCTATGTTAAGTAGATGCGTAATAAATACACCCCATTGGAAAGGGTGCTTTTGGGGTGGGTGTGTCTCCAAGAGTTTTGACATGCGGGCGGGTGTATCCTCAAGGGTTTCGACCTGCAGGCGCTTACCGAAAGTCTTGAGCTGCAATGTATGTGCTGTGATAACGAAAGGACAGACCCCATTGAAAAGGGTGCGTTTGGGGGTGTGTCTCCAAGAGTTTTGACATGCTGTGCGAGCTGGCAATGTGGTGTGTGGCGTTCTATTTGCCGTGTTTGAGGGACGGTTCTACATGCCGGGTTTGAGGGGGGTTTCACAGTTCTTTGGAGAGCGTGAGTTTGGTGCAGTGTATTTCATCGGATAAGGAGGTTGGATTGATTGCACTCGGCGGTGCAGAACTCGACGGTGCAGAATACGTTTTTTGAACGGCTTAGGCGCTTGCAGTGAGCAGGGCATCAATCTGAAAGGTCTATAAGTTAAGAATGGTAACTGTCATTGTGAATGAATATGCATGATAAAGAAATACAAAGAACGTGTATCTAGGAAGAGGTGGCTAGAGTAAATCCTGGCAGTAAATCTTGTTGTTCGAAGTATCAACACGGAAGGGTATGAAAATGGAGATGGAAAAGACGACAAAATATGCTCAAAGGCTGCAGTCTCTGGGAGCACATCTTCCGTTTTGGAAAGTGTGAAATGCATGATAGATCAGTGTGTGCGTGTATCAATGTAGGTGTGTCTATAGACATATGTAGGGGGAACAAAAAGAGATTAAATGTGGTTTGTGTAGACACAGAAAGGTAATGAAAGGTATATATAACATATACTGAGTTGTGAGGGTGTTGGCCATGCAAGACAGACCCCAGGGGGGCCGGGGGGGTGGGGCAGTTTGTAAAATAGAAAGGAAACGATGCAGAAAATTCATCTACCGACCGACCGGTCGATCCACCGATGGATTCATCGCTCCTGTCCATCCGTGTGCGTCAATTTATTCGTACATTGCTCCGTCTATCTATCGACCCATCTCTCGGTCCATCCATCGATTTATGAATCTGTCTGTCAATCCATCCATCCATCTACCATTGATCGCTTTTTCTCTCCATTTTTCCCCCTCTCTAGCTCTCCATCTAAATATCTATCTGGCTATCTATGTAATCGTTTGTTTGTTATTGATCGATCTATCCATCGATATCTATTTAGCTATTTATCAATCCATCTGTCCGTCCCTCGATCCATTTGTTGATCTATGGATTTATGTGCCGATCTTTAATCTATCCATCTATCCATCTAGCTGTCTATTTATCCAGCGATGTCTGCATCTATCCATCCAGTCAATTCTTCTGCAAAAATCAGATTGCATTCTTCAAACCAGCCCTTGTTGGGCGGAGCAAATTTTTTTTGTCATCGCAGGGCATGTCGCTTGAGACTGGCACACCATGACTTTGATGCAGTGTGGACTTCTGATAGTATTTTCGTTCGTTGTTAGTTAGGATAGAGAATATGGCATACATATTAAATTCACATGTCGTACCAAGTATACATTTCTTTTAATGTAGATATCCATGTGGGTCAAGACATTTGCACTTGCCAAGAAAATGCCTGCGGCTGGCTTGCGCTCCTATCTTCTCAGGTTATGTTTACATATTCATATGCATAATATACTATAATATAACAGATGTAACATTTCAAGTTACATGTACGTCGGGTACGAATAAATCGGATCATAAATTGATGAGGCATCCATCTCCAGACCTGATGCACCAGTCGAAGAAATCCCAGCTGCGACCACAGGAATGCTTCACACATGACATTTCGTTGCTGTGGCTGAAAAATCTCAGAAGTTGAATGGTTAGAGAAACATAGAAAAACCATGAAAAACCAAAAGGATAGAATCTTCGGTGTTTTTGCTGATTTATTCAGGAGCTGATGTAGGGTTCACCTGGCTACCACTTTGACCCATACCCATAGGTTATAATAGGTTATATGATGGTTATATATGGTTATATACTTGTCCAGAAATCACGGATATGCTTTTCGCAACTAAGGCTCACCGCATAGTACCAGAGATTCCAAGGCCGTTGAGCTGTGAGATCTGCACTGGACAACACAACATTGGACGAGCAAAATTGAAAAGTGCGAAACATGTGTAATTAATTGTAATTATTCACAAGGAAATGCGGCTTCCCAATGTACTCAAGCAGGTCTTGCAACTGCAGGAAAATGATGGAACATGGATGAAAATTGTGCTTTGATCATCTTTGATCTGGTTTGTCATTATTTATATAGTTATTCTATGTTCGTGTTGCTTTGTCATTGTCAGGAATCACCCAACGTGGGTCATTTGCACAGATGATTGGACCAAGCAGAAGGCCAGATCGAAATTTATGTCCAACAAAGGTGTGCAAGCAGGGTGTGACGCATCATTCTCAAAAGCACTTGCAAACATGAAGGCCTTCCCAAATCAGGTGTTCTCTTTGTGGATTGAAACAGGGCATTTTTTGGAAGCTTCAGGTTTCATTTGCTTTTTGACTGACCAAATGGTAAGTTGTCAAATAAAATACATCGTTATAATCATTCTACATCTCAGTTTTGAAGTTGGCTCTTGGTCGCTGTGGCCAGGTGCTCTACCTTCGTAGTGGGCCGGGTGCTTCAGTTCCAGTGCTTTCGTGCAAGGGAAACACACCACATTCTTGTGCCGGATCTGCTCTTGTCAACCTCTTTTGCTCTTTTGCATTTCTTCAGATCTTATTTTTCAGGTCATGTTTTTTCATTTCAGCATATTCCAGCTACTGGGTTCATGTGGTTTCTTGTCTCATCTCCCCTGAAGTTGTCTCAGGTCGGTGTGCCGTGGGGAAGTGTGTATAAAAGATATATATGGGAGCCGTCCAAAAACCCCAGAAAGGTTTTTAGTAAAGGACCTATTCTCGCATTTTTCCCATGGTCTAAAACCTGCATCGCGCAAGTTTCGCGCAAGGGCGGCCCAAGGTACGCGCAAGCACTATTGTTATCATTATTACAAGTACTATTTTTAGTTAACATTTTGATTACTACTACTACTACTACGACGACGACTACTACTACTACTACTACCACTACTACCACTACTACTACTACTACTACTACTACATTACCACTACTATTACTACTACTACTAGTACTACTACTACTACTACTACAACTACTACTAATACTACTACTACTACTCCTACAATTACTCCTACTATTACTACTACTTTTACTACTACTACTACTACTACTACTACTACTCCTACTCCTACTACTACTACTACTACGACGACTACTACTACTACTACCAGTACTACTACTACTACTACTACTACTACTACTACTACTACTACTACTACTACTACTACTACTACTACTACTACTACCGTATCTGATTTAGATCTTAAATATTAATATCTCGAGTTGATAAACATAGATAACCAGGGTGGTAAATAGGCCATCCAAAGAAAAAGGAGCAGATAGATAGATAGACAAATAGATAGATAGATAGAGATAAAGCAGCCAACGCGGTCCGGAAGACATGCAGCAGCAGTCCGGAGATGGTGAGCAGGAAGTGTTTCAGAGTGGTTTCAGACCTCTTTTGGGCTTGTTCCCCACCTGCCAGGTGAGGGTTGTTAGATTTTATGTCAGTTGCCTCCTCGTCCTCCTTCTCCTCCTCCTCCTTCTCCTCCTCGTCCTCCGCCTCTTCTCCTCCTCCTCCTCGTCCTCCTCGTCGTCCTCGTCGTCCTTGCTCAACTGCGACCCGCGATCCACAGTGTTCCCTGCCGGACCTCAACCACGACCATCCGCGCCCAGTGTTCCCTGCCGGACCTCAACCACGACCATCCGCGCCCAGTGTTCCCTGCCGGACCTCAACCGCGACCATCCGCGCCCAGTGTTCCCTGCCGGACCTCAACCGCGACCATCCGCGCCCAGTGTTCCCTGCCGGACCTCAACCGCGAGTATCCATGCCAAGTGTTCCCTGCCGGACCTCATGTAGGAATGTCAGATAGACTGCCAGATAGAATGCCAGATAGAATGTCAGATAGGATGTCAGATAGAATGCCAGATAGAATGCCAGAAAGAATGCCAGAAAGAATGCCAGATAGAATGCCAGATAGAATGTCAGATAGGATGCCAGATAGAATGCCAGATAGAATGCCAGAAAGAATGCCAGATAGAATGCCAGAAAGACTGCCAGATAGAATGTCAGATAGAATGTCAGATATAATGCCAGATAGAATGCCAACATATATGCCAGAATGTATGTCAGATAGAATGCCAAAATATATGTCAGATATAATGCAAGATAGAATGCCAGAATATATGCCAGAATATATGTCAGATAGAATGCCAGAATATATGTCAGATATAATGCCAGATAGAATGCCAACATATATGCCAGAATATATGTCAGATAGAATGCCAGAATATATGTCAGATATAATGCCAGATAGAATGCCAGAATATATGCCAGAATATATGTCAGATAGAATGCCAGAATATATTTCAGAATAAATGACAGGTAGAATGCCAGAATATATGTCAGATGAAATGTCAGAAAATATGTCAGATAGAATGCCAGATAGACTGCCAGATAGAATGCCAGGTGGAATGTCAGGATATATGCCAGATAGAATGCCAGAATATATGTCAGATAGGATGTTAGAATATACTAAATATATGTCCAAATATACGTCCTGACATGTCATGGTGGGGATCACACGAAGTAAAGTAATTTTTTGGGTACCCCCAGCTTTGGGAGATGAAAAAAGAAAGAGAAAAGGTAGAGAAAGAGAGAGAGAGAGACAGAGAGAGGAAGAGGGAAAGAGAGAGAGAGATAGAGAGAGAGAGAGAGGAAGATGGAAGATGGAGACAAACAGAAGGCGAGAGAGAGAGAGAGACAGAGAGAGGAAGAGGGAGAGGAAAGAGAGAGAGCGTTGTAAATGGTGAGCAGCGGGGTGTTTCAGAGTGGTTTCAGACCTCTTTTTGTCCGTAGGCTACCTCAGCTTTGGAGAAAAAACAGGAAAGAACGGGAAAAGAAAGAAGAGAAGGGAGAAAGAGACAGAGAGAAAGAAGAAGTCTTGAGACGGTGAGCAGGAAGATGTGTCGAACTGGTTTCAGACGTCTTTTGGGGCCGGTTATGGGGCTACCTAGTTCTTAAGACATCCAAAAGAAGGGGCTCAAAACAGATTGTACTTGAAACACATGCGGTCCGGAAAGACGTGCGACGGTCCGGAAAAGCAAGCACCCAAAACGTACTCTAATCGTAGCGATTGCGGTCCGGAAAGGCATGCAGCGGTCCGGAAAAGCGAGCACCCAAAACGCACTCTAATTGTAGACATTGCGGTCCGGAAAGATGAGCAGCGGTCCGGAAAAGCAAGCACCCAAAACGTACTCTAATTGTAGCCATTGTGGTCCGGAAAGACCTGCAGCGGTCCGGAAAAGCAAGCACCCAAAACGTACTCTAATTGTAGCCATTGTGGTCCGGAAAGACATGCAGCGGTCCGGAAAAGCAAGCACCCAAAACGCACTCTAATTGTATCCATTGTGGTCCGGAAAGACCTGCAGCGGTCCGGAAAAGCAAGCACCCAAAAAGTACTCTAATTGTAGATATCGCCGTCCGGAAAGACCTGCAGCAGTCCGGAAAAGCAAGCACCCAAAACGTACTCTAATTGTAGATATCGCGGTCCGGAAAGACGTGCAGCGGTCCGGAAAAGCAAGCACCCAAAACGTACTCTTATTGTAGACATTACGGTCCGAAAGACATGCAGCGGTCGGGAAAAGAGGATAGCACGAGACAGAGATGGAGACAAACAGAAGGCGAGAGAGAGAGAGAGAGACAGAGAGACAAAGAGAGGAAGAGGGAGAGGAGAGAGAGAGCGTTGTAAATGGTGAGCAGCGGGTGTTTCAGAGTGGTTTCAGACCTCTTTTTGTCCTTAGGCTACCTCAGCTTTAGAGAAAAAACAGGAAAGAACGGGAAAAGAAAGAAGAGAAGGGAGAAAGAGAGGAGAGACAAAGCAAGCACCCAAAACGTACTCTAATTGTAGCCATTGTGGTCCGGAAAGACCTGCAGCAGTCCTAATGTCTACAATTAGAATACTTTTTGGGTGCTTGCTTTTCAGGACCGCTGCAGGTCTTTCCGGACCACAATGGCTACAATTAGAGTACGTTTTGGGTGCTTGCTTTTCCGGACCGCTGCATGTCTTTCCGGACCGTAATGTCTACAATAAGAGTACGTTTTGGGTGCTTGCTTTTCCGGACCGCTGCAGGTCTTTCCGGACCACAATGTCTACAATTAGAGTACGTTTTGGGTGCTTGCTTTTCCGGACCGCTGCACGTCTTTCCGGACCAATGGCGTACGTTTTGGGTGCTTGCTTTTCCGGACCGCTGCTACCGCGATATCTAGAGTACGTTTTGGGTGCTTGCTTTTCCGGACCGCTGCATGGTCTTTCCGGGCCACAATGGCTACAATTAGAATACGTTTTGGGTGCTTGCTTTTCCGGACCGCTGCTCATCTTTAGAGTACCGGACCGCTGCATGTCTTTCCGGACCACAATGGCTACAATTAGAGTACTTTTTGAGTGCTTGCTTTTCCGGACCGTTGCACGTCTTTCCGGACCGCATGTGTTTCAAGTACAATCTGTTTTGAGTCCCTTCTTTTGGATGTCTTAAGAACTAGGTAGCCCCATAACCGGCCCCAAAAGAGGTCTGAAACCAGTTCGACACATCTTCCTGCTCACCGTCTCAAGACTTCTTCTTTCTCTCTGTCTCTTTCTCCCTTCTCTTCTTTCTTTTCCCGTTCTTTCCTGTTTTTTCTCCAAAGCTGAGGTAGCCTACGGACAAAAAGAGGTCTGAAACCACTCTGAAACTCCCTGCTGCTCACCATTTACAACGCTCTCTCTCTCTCTCTCTCCTCTCCCTCTTCCTCTCTCTGTCTCTCTCTCTCTCTCGCCTTCTGTTTGTCTCCATCTTCCATCTTCCTCTCTCTCTCTCTCTCTATCTCTCTCTCTCTCTCTCTTTCCCTCTTCCTCTCTCTGTCTCTCTCTCTCTCTCTCTTTCTCTACCTTTTCTCTTTCCTTTTTCATCTCCCAAAGCTGGGGGTACCCAAAAAACAAGCCCAAAAGAGGTCTGAAACCACTCTGAAACACCTTCCTGCTCACCATCTCCGGGCTGCTGCTGCATGTCTTCCGGACCGCGTTGGCTGCTTTATCTCTCTCTATCTATCTATCTATCTATCTATTTATCTATCTATCTGCTCTTTAAATGTATTTCCTTGTATGTTGTGTTCAAGTCTTTTCTGTCTGTAAATTGTTCTTTTCATCAAGGTCAGCTAGACCCCCCGAAGGGGTCTGAAACCACTCTGAAACCGCTCTGAAACCACAGAAGTTCAACACGTACAGAGCTACTTCCCGGTACTACTTCCCAGTACTACTGTGTTTACAAAGCTTGCACAAAGCACTTCCCAGTACTACTGTGTACTACAAAGCTTGCACAAAGCACTTCCCAGTACTACTTTGTACTACAAAGCTTGCACAAAGCACTTCCCAGTACTACTTTGTACTACAAAGCTTGCACAAAGCACTTCCCAGTACTACTGTGTAATATAAAGCAAGCACAAAATACTTTCCAGTACTACTTTGTACCGCAAAGCTTGCACAAAGCACTTCCCAGTACTACTTTGTACTACAACGCTTGCACAAAGCACTTCCCAGTACTACTTTGTACTACAAAGCTAAAATGCACAACACTTTTCCCAGTACTACTGTTGCTTGCACTACATACTACTGTGTACTACAAAGCTCGCACAAACACGTTCCCAGTACTACTGTGTACTACAAAGCTCGCACAAACTACTTCCCAGTACTACTGTGTACTACAAAACTTGCACAAAGCACTTCCCAGTACTACTGTGTACTACACAGCTCGCACAAACACGTTCCAGTACTACTTTGTACTACAAAGCTCGCACAAAGCACTTCCCAGTACTACTGTGTACTACACATGCACAAACACGTTCCAGTACTACTGTGTACTACAAAGCTCGCACAAACTACTTCCCAGTACTACTGTGTACTACAAAGCTTGCACAAAGCACTTCCCAGTACTACTGTGTACTACAAAGCTTGCACAAAGCACTTCCCAGTACTACTTTGTACTACAAAGCTTGCACAAACTAGTTCCCAGTACTACTGTGTACTACAAAGCTTTCACAAAGCACTTCCCAGTACTACTTTGCACTACAAAGCTTGCACAAGGCACTTCCCAGTACTACTTTGCACTACAAAGCTTGCACAAACTACTTCCCAGTACTACTTTGTACTACAAAGCTTGCACAAACTACTTCCCAGTACGAAATACTAAGTGAATACTAAATATTTAACATTCGAAAACAAGTACGAGAATAATGATGAAAAACAACTGAAATGATGAAAGTGATCCGGGAGTGTGGTCGCGCAAGAAACGCGCAAGGTTGGCGCAAGCTCGGCCCAAGAGGCCTTTGTGGGAACAGTAATTTAGGACAACCCCCATATATATATGATATGATATGATTATTCCATTGGATCATTGCTTATTTATAAGACCACAAAACGCATAGGCACGCTGAATTTCACCAACATGAACCTACCATTTGTTGTCATAAGCCTTCTTATTGCTTGTTTGTCCATTGCAGGGCACACAACGCAGGGGTAAGAAACAATCTCCGCCCAGTAGTGCGGTCTCAGACATATACATCTTTGGATGCTATTCAATCCGTGACCCCACATCGCTCTGAGTCTCCTTATAGACGTATCCTTCAGGCTCAAGCTGTCTTCACATTGCAAATTAGCCAGCAAATGGAAACGCTCAAAGTGTTGGAAAGTTGGAAAGGAAGAAGTACTCCTGTGGCATCTTGCATTTTTCTCAATGCCCTTCAGAAAGATCACTGAACCACTCGGTTCAGACACACTCTTTGACCTCTCGGTTTTCCTTAAGCATCTCCTAGCCCCACAGATCCCCACAGCAAATCCCTGGTTGCCCATGTTTTTCAAGTGGCACGAGGTGTGAGCCCCCTACGTGGGAAGACGTTGCCTCTGCTCGTCTCTGGTATGATACTCAGTTGTGCAAGGAATGTCATGCTTCGACTAGAGAAGACAGAGAAGCTGATGCAAACTATTTTTATCTTCGATGCGATGTGGGATCGGGAGATAGGGAATGCAAATGAATGCAGTCAGACATAGCCGTGGAATTGCGAACAGGTACTGGGCTCTAGGTGAACAGCGAGGCAGGGTGGATAAATTGCTTTGGGTGTCATCGTTTGAGGCTTTTTGACCTGTGAAGAAGTGGCTTCCGGTGATATCCATGGGAAATTGGCCGCCCCAAAGTAAGATGGCACAGAAGATCACAGAAGCTTAGAATATCTTTGAATATCTTATAGAATGGCCAAAATCCGTAGCTGCGGTCTTAATTTTTGACTGACAGCAAAGCGTTCACCCTTTTATGCTAGACGTTTGCTGGCTGTGCTGTTACGTGCTGCCAGGTCGAGACAATGCCTAGTAGTATGCTCATCCTCACAATGAGGTGGGATAGTTTGACAAAAACCATAAAGTACATTAAAGATCATTAGAGTACGATAAGTACGACATGAGACATGAGGACAGCCGTGCATGTTCAAGGCGGCAAAGAGCAAACTCTTTGTCTCGGAGCAGTGACCATGTGTGACCCTGAGGCAACGGTTTTTTTTCTGAAGCTACACCATTTAAAGATATTTAAAGCATGCTAGACCGTCATAGACCGTCTACATCCGTCTACTAGACCTCCTTTCAAGATCTTGAAAAAGATCTTTCAAGCCTCTCAGCTTCAGACACACCAGCGTTGTGCGGCAAAGACCCAAAACAATCCAAAACAATTCAAGAAAGCAAGTTCCATTCCAAAGTGAATCGGCGCGCCCGGAAACTGGAACACAAGTGGAACACGAGGCAAGTCGGGCCCCAAAATTTGAAAAGATACAACCTGGGAAGATCTGGGAAGAGTGTGATCTACCTGAGCAGCTCTGGAAAGATTCAGAAAGTAGATCGGTTTGTCACCAGCCATTGGGACAACCATGAGGCAAGTCAGAGAGGATCAGAGAGGATTGGGGGAACTCAATTGTCAAAACATGTCAAAACATGTCAAAACATGTCAAAACATGTCAAAACATGTCAAAACATGTCAAAACATGTCAAAACATGTCAAACCATGTCAAAACATGTCAAAACATGTCAAACCATGTCAAACCATGTCAAACCATGTCAAACCATGTCAAACCATGTCAAACCATGTCAAACCATGTCAAACCATGTCAAACCATGTCAAACCATGTCAAACCATGTCAAACCATGTCAAACCATGTCAAAACATGTCAAAACATGTCAAAACATGTCAAAACATGTCAAAACATGTCAAACCATGTCAAACCATGTCAAACCATGTCAAACCATGTCACCTCATGCCAAAACATGTCAAAACATGTCAAAACATGTCAAACCATGTCAAAACATGTCAAACCATGTCAAACCATGTCAAAACCATGCCAAAACATGTCAAAACATGTCAAAACATGTCAAAACATGTCAAAACATGACAAAACATGTCAAAACATGTCAAAACATGTCAAAACATGTCAAAACATGTCAAAACATGTCAAAACATGTCAAAACATGTCAAAACATGTCAAAACATGACAAAACATGTCAAACCATGTCAAAACATGTCAAAACATGTCAAATCATGTCAAGACATGTCAAAACATGTCAAAACATGTCAAAACATGTCAAAACATGTCAAAACATGTCAAAACATGTCAAAACATGTCAAAACATGTCAAAACATGTCAAAACATGTCAAAACATGTCAAAACATGTCA